TACATAGTTATCTTCTTATTGGGGGACTCCTCCTTCCAGCCACCCCCCCCCCCATCCTTGCCTACGCCAGAGCTACCGACCTAGATTTGCCCTGGAAACCAGAGAGTCTCCTGTAACCGACTTCATAAGTCGGTTGCGTTTTATTACACTTTTAAGTGACAACGTGCATCCTATTTTTAATATGATGGTTGTTCAAATTGAAACTTATCCAACTTCAATTAAGAAAGAGAGAAATGTACGTGTCGCTTGACTTTTTGGAGAATTTAGCAGTGGAAAGGTGGCCTCTTTAATACCATATGTGTGCATATATTTCTTCTCCAAGTCGTTTAAATTTGCAATAACTCGCAAGGCGCTTTAAACGTTGTGACAAAAATTTAATTGCGCGTGCTGCAGACGGGTGTCTATATTGAACGTTATTGAGTGTCATTATTGCCACGTCCTTTACGGAGATCATTCTTTCACGATTTCCTGATTGACGACGGATGAGATGCGAAGATGATCTCCCAAGAATGCTGTCGATAATGAATTTTCTTTACCCTAAAAAACTTTGGGGTTGAGCCGAGTAAACAAGCTGAATGTCGCCACAAACTGTCTGGTTATGCCAAACGTTTTTGACATTTTAAAAGTCGGATTCCCGTGGGGCATTGAGAGTTATAATCGTTCCATCCAGTTTGATCGTCTAATTTCCGATTTCCAGTTTCTTCAGGATTCATGTCTCATTCGGCAATCGTGAAAGGAATATATTATGTAACATAATGATAACAAAATGTTGTTGAAATTTTCAAAACAAGCAAGAACCAGCAAACTATAGTATAGACCTAATACAAATATATTTTACGAGTATATTGAAATGTAATGGCTGTGAAGAACAATCTGCGGATCTCACTAAATGATAGGAATTAGTTCTCATGATGTGATGTAGCACTAACCATATCATACGAAAAAGGGATGGTTCTTCGATTTTTCATCAACAACATTATGCATGCATGCACAGCAGTAACCTCAGGCTCTCATCTAACGTATAATCGTCGTTTTAAATTAATGATAAAAATATGCCACCGAGATAACGCTAGTAGGAACGATATGCAAGCTTCGAGGATAACATTAAGCGAGACTATTACTCTGGGGATGACATTTCCTAGCTCCCCTCCTTTCAAGATCTAGACAACTACACAGTCAAGGCTGTCTTTAGACAATTGGAAATGGGGATCTTAACTCCATTTTGGACAGTACCTTTTCTAACAACGATATGAATGTATGCAATATGCCGATGGGGGTAAAGATTTTTCGTTTGCAATAAATGAAAAGAAAAGGAGTAAGTAAAACAAATTATTGCGACAAGGGTGATAAATTAAGTTGTGATATTCACACATTTCCTCACAGACACAAGAGAAATGCTGAGGTATCGTAACAGGAGGGGTAACACCCCCACACTCTCTGCGAGCGACGCCCCCTGCTCCCCCTGTGGTGTCTATTTTTAAAGCGACGCGTCGAACCCTCCCCCGCGATCATGTAACGTCATCTCTGGAGGCGGATTGAACGAGTACCCCTTTTAATTCAGTCCTTTCTTCAATCTTTCTTCCTTTCTTTCTTTTTTAACCAAATATTTAATGTAAAGGTATTGTAACACTCCGAATTGTAGATGTTTGGTAGCGTGATTATGGCGAGTGTTAGTTACATATAGTATAGATGACTCAAAACCAAATAGTGATATAGAGTTCAAGATGGTATTTTATTAATGATGATTATACCCTCCCCTCTGTGTACGCCTACAATAGGCAGGGGCAATCGCTGTCCAATCCCCACCTGAAGGTGGTGAGGACGAGAACTTGAAGAACCCACATGAGTGATTTCACAAACTCTTTATACTTTTGGGCGAGTCCAAGCCATGGTCTGACATGAGACATTTAAGACCATATTAGGCCATGGTCAATATTATGAATTAAACATAAAGACCTCATGCCCATAAATGGCCATGGTCAGTGGTTATTTCTAAGTAGAAAGTGGGATGACATACTCTAATGGAATGTGCTTATCTTGCATTTATTTACACTTCTAAGAAAGTATTGTTTAAAGGGTGTTGTGTTATTAAGGGAATGAAGGGATCGTAATATTGGGTCTTACAGTATTTTGTTATTGATCAGTGGATATATTCTCCGTCCCGTTCAGCTGTATTGTAAATCAATAATGTAACGGTCTTAGAAATAACATATCCTTCCTTATGTATTCATCAGTCTAATTTTTTCTTTGTCTCTAAATTTTTTTTTGTAAAGAGCAATAAGTATATATTGCAATGCTTTAGCTCTGTTGCCGTTTGAAGGAAAAACTTACTATCAGGTGGCTATTTACTACACCTGGGGGTGTTTCACAAAGATTCTAAGTAGAACTTAACTCTAAGTTGGACTTAAAAATTATGGAAAGCCATTAGCATCTTTGAAAATATTTGGTAAAAATATTTTTGAAAGGCATAAAATGTTTATTCAAATCATTCATATTTTCTATCATCAAGGAGATTTCATATTCTTGTTGTGGAATTTATAAAATGTCTAAAATACTTGAATTTCTGCTTTTGAGTATATTTCATTTTAAGGCTCCAATGGCTGTCCATAATTTTTAAGTCAAACTTAGTGTTAAGTTCTACTTAGGATCTTTGTGAAACACCCCCCTGGGGGAGAGTAAAAAGTGTAGGGCCTACTGTGAGTGTTGCCATCGGACTGAGACTCGAACCATGAAATAGGTGATGCACATTCCATGGACCTATCCACTAGACCAAGGCAGCTCTTCCCTGTTCATAATATTTTAAAGGTAATACAAAGTTTTGGGAAATTGTGAAAATTGGGTGGATAGTGATTCTTTACAATTTTGGTATATTTGAATGCCCATGTGAATGTATTATAAGCACTATAAAATTTAGCCCCTAAAACATTTCTGTTTTCGAGAAAAATTGAATATAAAAATTTACCGGTGCTCCCGGTAAATTTTGATAAATTCAAAATAGCGCCTATACGGCCGTACAATAGTAGCTGCGACCATGAAAATCTCAGAATATGTAGTTGTTATATATATAATTTCCCAACAGAAATAGCTAATCGGTCGATTTTAGTCAAGAAACATTGTTTTGTAGCTTAATTAATATAATGACCTTAAGAGGGAGCTATACAACATAAAGAGTTAATTATTTACAATTTCATTACTTTAGACTCGATTTCAACCGCGACAAAAATCACTGAATATTGTAGGATAGTATATGCTTCCAATATGTTCATTTGAACCAAATTCATGACCCCATACCAAAACTTTGTAATGCCTTTAAGGATACGCGACTGTAGCGGACCATGACATCAATGACCACTTTACCTTCATTTTGTTTTTCCTTCTGTCTTTCTCTCGTTTTCTTACCATTCAATAAAGGAAGGGAAGGGGGCACACCTACTCTACTTCATTTACATGACTGTATGTATCAAGTTAAATCCTTTAGCAAGACCGGCAAATTCAACGCATGTTGAAATCAGTAAAATCTGATGTATTTTGCTTGTATTGCATTATTTCTGTAATGCAATGCCAAATCGACTGACCCAAATTATGCAAAAGTGCAAACTGAATTACCCCCCCCCCCCCCCTCACACCCTTCATGACAGCACATGTATATACAAATGTAGTCAGTATACCAATTGAATTTGCTCTCTCTCTTACTCTCCCGTCTTCAATCTCTTACCCTCTTTTTTTATTCCATTATCTTCTATCTGTCTCTCTCTTTTTCTCTTCTTCTTATGACTTCTTCTTATTATTCTTTTTTTGCCCCTTCCACACTTTCTCTCTTTCACTTTCCTTTTCTTGTTTCCCAAAATGTATATCAAATAGAGATGGCAGTACAGATGGATTGAACAGGACACTCAGAATTTTGTTTCAAATTATTTTTATTGCTATATACAGCGTCTTATAAATACACATAACCAGAAATATATGGAGGAATACGCCACTGAATTATTATTTGTTTAGAATGTATAATCATTATTCCTATCAGTAAACACAGTCAACCTTCAAACACATTCCCACAGAGCTAAGAAGATGTCCTCACCCCCTTTGAATTATCAATTTTGAAATTGAAAATCTGACAGGTACACGAAAATAAGAATCACAATACATTATTAATGACATAAAATTCTGGGTCAAGGAATACACATCTGTAAAAGCAATATACAGTCAAACCTGTCATATTAAGGCCACCTGAGGGAAACAGACAAAAAAAGTGCCACTATTAGACAGGTGGCCTTTCAAGACAGGTTCTACAACACTCTTCTTTCTCAAGTGAGACAGAAGACATGACTACTATAGACAGGTGGCCTTCATAGAATAGTGGCCACTAAGACAACATTTGACTGTATATTCAAAACCAATATAAGATTACTACTAAACATCATAACGGAAAATGATGATAGCATGCCTTCATTACGTTTTACTTTTCATTACTCTATCACAATGCAGTATTCAACTTTATATTTAACATATTTCAATTATACAATTCAACTTAAAGGGAAATACAACCTTCATAGTTAACTACTGTACTCTAAATGTAAGCAGAACAACTGCAGCAGCAGGTTGGTGAAAGTTTAAACAAATCTGATAAAAAATGAAGAGGGTTATGAAATTTGTAATCACTATGAATTATGTATGGGCACTTCAAGTTATTTAGTTATTTGAGTAAGTAGTTATTTGAGTGCTTAGTACACACGTCATCATAATGCGCTGTGGCATTTTGATCATGAATTCAAATCACGCTTTCACTATATTGGTTAAGATGAGAGCATTAAAATTGTCATATTCTAGCATGTAATTTCTTAGAAAGTTCTCATCTGTGATGATTCCGGTCAACACACAATCTTCTTCTAACTCGTCTATTGGCACGAAGTTGGTTCTGGGCAAGAAATATTGCCGCCATTATATCACCACGAAAGATACAACAACCCCCTACCTGTTGTAAATATTGTTGTAAATATTGTTGTAAATACCATGCAAAATAAGATAAGATAAAAGATACAACAACTTTCAGAATTCCATTTATCTCGACATATTATCTCTTGTGCGCACATGCAAATGAGGATTTTATTAATAATACGCACAATTACAAGCGCACCAAAGTATGAGCGCAGGCGCGGCCAAAGAGATGAGAGAAAAGATACAACAAAAGATAACACAAAAGTTACAACAATGTTCAGAATACCAACTTTATCTTATCTCCAAAGATACAACAATATTAGAGATAACACAGGGTTCAGAATACGGCCCCAGAATTTCAAACACTCAAAACTTTCTTATTATTGGTCCGATTTATTTCAAATGTTCACCATGCTGTTTCTCTTACGATTCCACTTTCATACAAATTAAATTATTACAAAGGTTGGATTGCCCTTTAGGTTGTTTGCTGGTGTGACATTTGATGTATATATGTGAGGGAATGACAAATAACCCTTTCTTTATAATGCAAATTAGTCAGGGACAAAAGGAATGTACCTAAGGAGGAGTGATATGCCCCAGTGAACATACACTCACTGTATGCAGGTAAAAGCTCATACATGCAGTGAGCAGAGATGAGACTGGCTGTAGCTGTGCCTACATGAAGCTGTAATTGATGTCTCATCCTGATATTCTTGATGTATATAGTTGATTTTGGACACCTTAATATGTGAGTATAGTATATTATTAACTCTCTAATGTTAAGATTGCTGAGGTGCTTAATTGGATAGATTATGATTTGTGTGAAGAAGAGGGAGATTTAACTTTAATTTACATGAAGGATGCATGCTGGTATTAATTGAGTTATGCCTATTAATGCTACAAAGGCGTGGTAGGACATTGCTTTTTGGTAAGCCTTGTATTGTGATTAGTTGGAGTATGTTTCTATATTGCTTAAGGCTGATAGAATAATTATAATAGCTCACTCATTTGGAGAATTGTGTTATATATATATATATATGTGAAAGTAATATATAGGGAGTGGCCTTCATTGCGGATCTATTTACTACATGAATTTCATAGGCTGAGGTAAACTCAATATATATATATACAATGTACATGTATGAACTAAAATGCATACACTGTTTAATATGGAAGATGATCTGGAAAACAGATGTAGTTAGTAATTATTTGTGATCATAATGATGAAATACTTACTGTAGTTTTTGTGTCTTTTAATTTTCTACAGCAACTGAAGTGACTTCATGCAGTCAAGGGTCTTCTACCCTCTTTTGTTTAGTTGAACATCATGAAATAAAGATTGGCCTCATACCCAATAGAACCGCAACAACTGCTTCGTCTCATTTATGACTTCGAGTCGATACCCTCACATATAGAAGTCTGAACATTAATGATGGTCTAACAACTGTCATCATCAGCAAAGTTGAGAACTTTCAGAACTTGATCCCTCTTGGTATGTCTGCAAATGACAAAACAAAAAGAAAAAAAATCATAGAGGCAAGGCACAATAATAGTGAACAAGTAAAAAGTTTGGAAAAACTTTCAGGCAGAATGTGTGTTCAGTCCCATATATTAATTTTGCATGCAGTACACATGACTTTCAGCAAGATTAAGTCAATGTCTCTTCATTTCCACTATTTCGAATCCTAAGTAGTATAAATCATGTACGACATAACAAACTCTTTCATTTGCTCCCAGTCTGTTTCTTTAACAATGTAATCACATGACCAGAACTATTCTCATCTATAAAAGGAACACACTTAGAGGTGTTGTGGTCTAGTGAATACGTCGCTGGATTGTGGATCACATGGTTTGCGGTTCGAGTCCAGCTTGGGCACTAATATCCTTTCGCAAGATATTTATCTACATTTGCCACTCCCACCCTGGTGCAGTAAATGTGATCCCGGTAGGAAGAAATTCCTTGAATGCTTGTGAGCCTTATCACGGTAGCCAAACTAAAGCCAGGATAATAATATGATCGCAAGGCCCTAAGGGAGAGCAGTATTAATACTAATGAGGCATCCATGGGTAAGCAAGTCAACAAGATCATCAATGTATACTGCAACATCAATTCGTCCCATATAATATATGATTCTACTCTCCTTCAAAGATGTTTATAGTCTTCCAGTTATTCAGTTTAAAATAACAGACCACCTACTTCCTTTCAATGACAAATTCAATTTCTCTGTATTTTATTTTTATCATCACAAAACAGAAAAGTTGACACTGACCTTGCTCTGCTCTGGAACTCGGCATCACTATCATCACTAGACATCACCAGCTCAGCAAGCTTGGACATGGTCTTGACACGACCCTTCACCTTTGACTTCACCAGGTCACTCTCATTCTCATGGTCACTGGATTGAGATTGAGACAAACATTGAGGAGATTATTTCACAAGAGAAGAGATACCGACTATGCAACAGCCAACAACCTAAGAGTATTTCTTAATTTTACTTTTAGGTCCATCAATTGCTAGATTAAAATATTTGAATACTTGAGTATAACTAAACCAATAACATCTGGCCCCATTCAATTCTACTGTTACAGTCTACAAGTCTACAAGGAATTTAAATTCAGTTGCAAACTCAAGTTCAAAGAGTGATTGCTAAGCTTTTGCTCAATTATTCATACCCCTTGTAAATTTTATGTTTCTTTTGTTTTCTTATTCGAAATTCAAAAATGAAATATGGACTTGTTATTTTGCTTATTACTTTGAGATGTAAGATGTTATGTGTCCCATTCTCAAGAAATATAAATCTGAATAAATCAATTTTCACATACTTAATAAATTACAAACCTTGGTAAGGATATGAATAATTTAGTTGTTAATTGTATTTAGGTGATTTCAGTTCATTACCTTGTATTTTCCTCCTTGACAGCAGCCTTCCTTCTGCCTCGAGTGCTGGGGGTCTTGGTTGGCTTCTTCTGAGCGGGGGTCTTCGTAGATTTGCCTGAAGATTTGAAGGGAAATTAAGGACAAATTGATAACCCTCAATGAAATATTATAGCGACATATCATTACAATTTGATTTTTTTTTAAACATACAAACAACATATTAACATTTGATCACACAAACTATAGCAGACATAGAGTTGAGAAATAATGTGCACATGGTCCCCTTTTTCTTTTTGCAAGTAGTACCACTCATGAATAACAAATTTACAACTAGAGCCTCACGTGGCAGTGTATATTTTCATGGTATGATGCCATTGGTAGCACAAATATTCTTTTTATGCATGCCAAGTTTCTGGTTTTTACGATACCAATATTTGCATCACTGCCGACCAAAAAGAGCCCTTGGCAACACAAATATTCTTTTGGGGTCTGTGCACCTCAGGAAATAGTGCTATTTATGGATAACATAAATGCATTTTAAAACAGAGCCTCAAATGTCAGTGTATATTTTATGGTATGATGCAATTAGTAGCACAAATATTATTTCCGGCTGTGCACCTCATGAATATAGTACAATTCATAGATAACAAATTTACAACTAGAGTCTCACGTGTCAATGTATATATAGTTTTATGGTATGATGCAATTAGTAGTACAAATATTCTTTCATGCATGCAAAGTTTCTGGTTTTACAATACCAATATTTGCATCACTGCTGGCAATAAAGTGCCCTTGGCAACACAAATATTCTTTTGGGGGCTTTGCACCTCAGGAAAATAGTGCTATTTATCAATGACATACATATGGTTAAAAATAGAGCCTTATGTGTCGGCGTATATTTTTATAGTATGATATCATTGGCAACACAAACATTCTTTTGGGGCTGCACACTTCAGGGAAATAGTACAATTTATAGATGACACAGTTTCACCCACAGCCTCTTGAGTCAATATACAGTCAATCCTGCTATAGCAACCACCTGTATATAAAGACTACATGTCTTCAAAGACCACATTTTTTGTTTCCCTTGAAAATGGTTTCTCATTGAAACATGTACTAAAGGAACCTGTCTACAAAGACCACTTGCCTATAAAGACCACTTTTCTTATCTCCCTTGGGTGGTCTTTATAGACAGGTTTCACTGTATATTTCAATGCTAACCTCTTGCTCTAGTCTTCTTGCCAGTCGTCTCTCCTGCAGCAAGTTCCTTCTTGCAATCTTCAGACAGCTCCTGAGCTGCTGTGATATTACATGCTGCTTCAGCCATCTAGATATATCAAAGGAGAAAATGTTTTGATATTCAATGGATCTCTCTCTAGCAGTTCATACAACCAATGGTAACAACATTATAGATTTTGGAAAACTCAAAAGTGGTTTTGAAGCTTTGACAAAAATCTTTGTCTGCTCCCTATAGCAAAGCACCAAACATGGTATTCTCATGTAAATAGGAACCATTCTATATCAACTTAAATCAGTTCATTGGACACAACCACACAAAAATGTACATGCCGATGATCATAACGTTAGCTGTTATTCTGACAATTTTTTTAGGAACTTGCACTTGTTTTGCTAGAGGCAAGATATGTGAAGTTGGGAAAACAACAGCAATTGAAATAAATTCATTTCGTACTAATTGTAGCATATTGAGAGAGAAAGTTGTGGCACACATGCCGATGAATGTGGTCATAAGTTAAAGAATGGATATTTCAATATTTGCCTCCCATGTACAAAGTCTATGGGGAAAGGGGCTATTTGAGGTGCCATAAAATAATTGACCAATCAGAAGCATCTTCCTGTGATGCAACTGTGTCTCTCAACTAGCTATAGTACCACCTACCGTTTCATCTGCCTTCTCTCCAGTCTCATTTTCCTTGTCCAACATGTCTGCCCCTTCAGCGGCTGTTCCATCCTCTGTCTTTCCTCCCTCATCCTGATTCTCCTCCACACCCAGCAAGGCATCGATGCTGTCGGAGAACTTCTCAACCTGGCGCAGGGCGACTTTCTCTTCCACATGCTAGATAGGAAAAATGACACAGATACATAGGTCATAGAAAGAAAGATGGTCTGGAAGTTGGCAATTTGTAAGAAGCACATTAAGAACCCTAGACAATATTATCAATAACCCTTCCAGTACAATAGGTAAACTAAAGACACCTGGGAGGAGAATGCTAAATGTAGACTTCAGTTCATTTCATTCCATTTATTTCATTCTCCATAAAAAAACATTAAAACATACAAACATGATATTCAGATAAAATATCGATTACAAGAAAAATGCAAAGGGAAGGAGCAAACAAAATGTTATGCCAAAGGACACTGGTGTTGAGGCAGGGAATTGAACCCCTTGCATTGTGGTCCACAGTCTGAAGACCTGTCCCCTAGACTGCAACACCTCGACATACCTGTACGAGGAGATCAGCCAGAACCTTGATGTCGGCTAGATGGGTCTGGTTGTGTGCATTGATGGTGAGCATAGAGAGGGTCTTTGCCAAGACACGGGTGCCCGGAGCTGTGGGGTCCTCCAGGATGGCGTTGCAGAGCTTCAGGGCCAGGTTGTCATGGACAGTCGTCTCCTGTAGAATAAGAAGATACATTTTCCATAGAGTCTAGATGTAATGAGGATTGCCAGATTGAAAGATTGAAATTTTTTCACACATTCATCTTTTATTTAGTAATATATAATGTATAAGGAGAATATGATATTGTCACAGAGTGAGAATTCAAACACAATGTTTAGAATGTTTAGAAGGCCATAAACAGATGTCTCCAAGAAAATGAAAGCAACATGAAGACATAAGGTAGTTTGGACAGAGCGAGTAATTGTTATTTTGACATTTGTACTGATTTTTGTTATCCTCTGTTTTAAAAAAATGAAAATAATCTTTTTTGTTCAGATCTATTACAGTCATGCCTGTCTAAAGCGACTGCCAGGTGGTCTTTGTAGACAGGTTCATTTATTACATGTTTCAATGAAATACAATTTTCAAGGGAAACAAAAAAATGTGGTCTTTGTAGACAAGTGGTCACTAAAGCAAGTTTGACTGTATAATCCATAAATATCAAATTGAATTGAATTGTATGTACCTGTATATCTGCGGTTTGCTTGTTGTTGAGCATGGTGTGGTCTGTGAGATGGACCATGAATTCAGCCACGTTACCAGGGTTGACCTTGGCCATAGGGGAGGTGGTCGGAGCATTGAAGAGCGTCCTCAGGGTCGGCAGGAAAGCCTCCTCCCAACACTCTTGGTGGACCCTGACATGGAGAAGACAAAAACAAGGACAACATTTTACAATCAATTGATAATAATGAAAATCTCAAGTAAAGTAGCAGTTTGCCAAGAGATGCAAAGGACATCATCATCATCATCATGGAGTTGTCGAATAGAATGGCGGAAGATAAATGAGACATATCCCTATTCCTTCCTCCTTATTCCTTACTTCATAGTCCTTATTCACAATGCCGTATTCCCTATTCTTTATCTTTACTTCATACTCCTTATTCTCTGTTTTTATCCCTTACTCCATATACGTCATTTCCTATTTATAACTCCTTATCCCATGTACCTTATCCCTTACTCTTTATTTCCTGTACTTTATCCCGGACTCTATATTCTGTAATCTGTATGCCCTATTCCTTACTCCTTATTCCCTGTACCTTATCCCTTACTCCATATTCATTATTCCCTGTTCCTTACTCCTTATTCCCTGTTCAATATCCCTAACTCCATATTCCATATTCACCAGTCCTTATTCCTTATTCGTTATGTATCATTTGTTCTTATCCTTACCTTCCAGCAAAGTGAAGAAAGCTTCCAGGCAGGACCTTATCTCTTACTCAAAACTCCTTATTTCCTGTTCTTTATCTCTTCCTCCATACTGCTTGTTCCCTGTTCTGTATCCCTAACTCCATATTCCTTATTCATTATGTATTACTCAATCTTATTCCTTACCTTCCAGCGAAGGAGTAGACAGGGAAGAAAGCTCCCAGGCAGGACCTGAGATGCTGGTCCTCCTCGCTGGTAGGATTGTACCACAGGAGGTATCCCTTATTCCCCGTTCCTTATCCCTTACTCCATATTCCTTATTCACCAGTCCTAATTCCTTATTTGTTACATAATATTTGTTCTTATTCCTTACCTTCCAGCAAAGGAGTAGACAGGGAAGAAAGCTCCCAGGCAGGACCTGAGATGCTGGTCCTCCTCGCTGGTAGGGTTGTACCACAGGAGAAGGAGACGGGACAGTAGCTTGGGGCTTGTGATGCGACCAGAGAGAAGAAGCTTGGCCAGACCCTCCGCAGACACGGTGCGCAACTCATTGCTCTGTTAAAAACAAAGTGAGGATAAAGTATTAAAAGAGATAAGTGAGGATTCATGTCAATATGCTAACAGAGAGTATATTTAAGAATGGTACTTTTAGAACATAGGCAGTACAAAGCTGGTGAAGGTACATGTATTGTATAGACTGTTTTCAACAACTTCAGCTTGCATTGTAAGCGTTAGGTTCATGAAGCTAAAATCTAAAACTATACTCAGAATTACATGATCATCTTAGTCAGATACTAAATCATTGCCAAAATTGGCACTAAGTATAGATGCACTTGCAATAATAATAATATAGTGATTTGCTGGATATCTGAAAATAAAATGTGAAACCTCTTGAAAGTGCTAAGATTACTCAAAATAATATGATGGATAGGCAACATTTAGAAACTGAATAATATTCTTTACTATTTTTCATACCTCGGAATCCAGCAATTTGGTGAGAATTGAGAGGGCGCTATTTGCTGCACTCTGGGCAGACTGCTCCTTTTCTTTAGCTTCTTCTTCTTCTTCATCCTCCTTCTCTTTCTCCCCTTCCTTTTCTCCATCCTCACCAGGCTTCTCAGAGCTTGTCTCTGGCAGCTTGAAGATGTCCAGGCCGTAGGTCTGGGCGGTGTCACAGATTGCTTGGAGAGCAGTTACCTGGACAGTTTCCTGGTCCACTTGTGATATCTACAGGACAGAGAAAGAAAATCAACAAGGAGAGATTATCACTCTGAAACACCTTGTGCAATAGACTTGCATTTTGTTTCTTAGTAATACTATTCGGTAATTCAAGGATATCAGTTTCACTGATAAAAATTTAAAAAACATATCCATCATTCACATTTATATCATATATCTAGGGCACTAGATATGTGATATAAATTTCAGCCAATGTGGAGAGCCTCTCGCCAGAATTTTTAAATTCATTTAGGTGATCCCCATACACTGGCGGGTGCTAAATATCATATTGTTAATGTTATATCATTTTGTCAACACGTGATGTTTTCTATGTATTGTTTTCATCTTGCCTGGAAATAAAATAAATAAATAAATATATAGGACACTCCATTCTCTTGGATGGATGACACATTCATAACTGTCACTCAATATGCAATTCAATATTTCTTCCAGCTCATTTTTAAGGAACAATGCAGGTTTATTTTATGCTGCATGTAAACATATGGAGGAGGAAGCATCTCACAAAAAGGCTTAGTCCGGGTTTTAGCCAAAAAAAATCTTACTGCTGTCAACAATAAAAACAAAGTGGCTGAATATTTATCTGTACCTGCATGAGGAGGAGAAGCTGTTGCATGGCAAAGACCCTGCTGATCTGAGCACCAAGACCAAGACACTTGACTGCCATGTTACGAACAGACGGATCCTCGTTGGTGATACCGGGCAGAACCTATCGGGTAACAGAAAGAGATAGATAAGGCAAAAATGTCAGGGAATGGATATCAAAATTCTCGAGACTGAAACTTCCAACAGAAATACTTAAAAGAATTTTAAACTAAGTTACATATCCTCATAGCACAAGTATATAGATTAAATACTTTTACATATAATAACTGGCAAATGGAATCGCAACAAAGGACTTGCCCGTAATCACTGAGGTCTGTGTTATAAGATAAATGTGGAGTGTATTATCATAAACAAATATTGTAGCGGTTTTGACACATTATATCTTAATGAGCTCCATGTGCACATCTTATCAAATAGTGATGATCTTTTTTTTTACCAAAGGTAGAAATGAAAAATATCAGTATCAAGTTTAGTTCATTGACTGTTTCCAGCACTTATCAAGAGCGACACTTAATTTGTGTCAATGTTTAAACATATGTTTGTGTGAAGATATTTTCACAGATGACCGTAACACAGACATTTCCACAAGTTGATGCTTTCAAGATAATTGTCACATGTTACATACAATACATGGTTGCCCGTGCATTGCCAGCTTATTTGCGTGTACTGTTAAATTGTAACCCTAAAACAACAGTACACGATCTTGGCAAAGATAGTGGCGTACACTTTACTTACCAGGACAGTGAAAAGAGTTTGTAGTGTTGGGTTGAGCTCTTTCATGGCCAAGTGTTGCATGAGTTCTGCTGCGATCGTCAGGCACTTCAGCAAGGTTTCTGGATCACTCTGTTTTGTGGGAAACAAAATCGTGATTACTCATAATTATGAAAGGAACTTTAAACTTTTGAAGGACATAAATTACAGTGCACTTACAGTGCAATTTGCACAATTCATTATAGGAAACAATAGGAAACATTACTACTTTGTGGCATTTTTCTGTTGTAATCCACATTACAAAACAAGCATTTTAGGTGGTCAATTGGGCAGCAAACACATTTTAAGAACACAAAATGCATAATTGCTTTTAAAAAATGATCATGTTGCACAGAGCTTGAACCACATAATTGAATTAAAACCAAAATAATTGCCCTTAACATCAAATTACGATAATCATGGTAATTAATGTTGCTAACCTTCTCTGTGCGTATCTCTTGGGTAGTGTTCATAACCAGGGACTCCTCAAGAAGAGAGTTCTTGGTGCACTCCAGCTCCTCCACCCTCCTCTTCATCTCGGCAGCCTGGGTGAAGTCTTGGTTGGCAACAGTGTCTTCCAGGGCATCCCTTGCCTGGGTAAGGTCCATTCGAATGCTAGCAAGCTGCAGGGTATAGACAAAGTTCATTTCACTTAAAGTTCAGCAAAATATAAAGAAGATGGGACAAAGGGCATGGCAGATTTCTATCTATGGAAAGCTACACAAATACTCTGGGGAAAAATGAATTAGAAAAAAGTCAACACAAGTATCTGTCTATCTACGAAAACCTAACAGGTCCTATTAGAGATCCTATTAGACAAAAAAAAATTACATGAAAATGACTCTAAAAGACTAACATTGAGATGAACAGTCCTAAACTCGCTGCGTTTGACTAGAAAATATCTTAAAAGATTATAAGACATTAAAAACAAAAGTTAGAGGAAAGGTTCACAAGATTTTAATGAATGCATGTTATCAAAAATTCTATGGATTTGACCACTACCAGCCTACCTTCAGTTCTCTCTGACGAATGGCCTCCGGGGCTATGGGCTTCTCCACCGTAGTGATCGGCACCCTGATATCTGAGATGATCTGAGCCATCAGCTCGATGCGCTCCTCATCCTCGCTGTGGAAGTCTTTGAGACGGGTGATGAGGATTGCTACGAGAGAGGGGGGCACGTGGGGGGCGATCAGGAGGTCTTGGACCAGACTGTCAAGCTTTTTTCTGCCACGGGAGATTCAACAATGAAATGAAAGTGAACTCACTGATTGTAGTGATAGCTGGTTAACAGAGTCTGTAAATACAGACTAGCATGTATAGCTATTTATATAAAATGACCTGCAACCCATGACTTATGCCAGGTCAGTTATGAAACAATGAGTACTTGTATAATACCTGACATGAATACATGACTACAAAGATGTACAGTACACGCCGAAAATCTCCGCAACACGATTACACGATATATTTTTCGGATTACACGGTTTACACGATTCACCTGAATCGTGTAACTGTGTAATCGTGTAGATTTACACGCTTGAAAATGTCGCTCTGAATCGTGTAATCGTGTAAATAATTAAGTGCGTTGGTGGGATGATTCGACCAGATGTAACAATCGTGTAACTGTGTAATCGTGTAAATTTACACGATTGAAGAATGTCGCTCTGAATCGTGTAATCGTGTAAATAGCTAAGTGCATTGGTGAAATGATTCGACCAGATGCAACAAACGTGTAACCGTGTAATCGTGTAAATAGTTATAATGGTTATAAGGGCATTGGTAGGATGATTCGACCAGCTGCAACAATCGTTTAATTGTGTCTTGTTTACATCGATTGCTTTCTACACCACTTATCTCAGTATTCATCAGGTAATTACTGTACTTTATATTCGTGTATAAACCTCATCACTTTCTAGTAACCCGTATCGTATACTGATCCGTGAGACTAGGTAGTGAACGTCAGAAAGAGGAAGACATGATAGATGAAATAGTTAAGGAAAAAAGACGGCTACGAGGAGAAGGGAACATTTTAAAGGGAAATGAGGCTTGAAAGGGCATGATAAAGATAAGAAGGAGAAAAACTATGCAAGAGAGAAATAGGGGAGGACGCCAGAAAGCAAAAAAAGGTGTCCGAAAAAAAGAGATAATGAAATAGAGTTATAGAAATATAGAAGGGCGAAACAAAGTGGAAAAATAGACATGAGAAGTAGAAAGGCTGTGAAAATGAGAGGAAAGGTAATCAAAATAAGGTGAGAGTGAAACATAATGACAGCAAGAGGGAGTAAGATAAAAGGGCAGTGGATGAAAGTGAGAGAGAGAGAGAGAGAGAAAGTGAGAGCGAGAGAGAGAGAGTGTGAGAGAGAGATAGCTAAATAGGAAGAAAAAAATTGATTACGCGATGGGGATTTAATCCAAGTAGAGAGAAAATCTATTTATCTTTATCTCTCTACTCTGTTAATAATTTGTCATTGTAGTTGACTGTTTTTCAGGAAGCTGTTTGAGGGCTTATTATAGTATTTTTTCTTCACCGTTGCATTATATTATCATTGTCATTATTGTTATTGTTACTATTTTTCTACTTCTTATTAGTGGTATTATCATCATAATTATAATTATAATATTTTCTTTGTATGTCCACACAAACACTCTATTTTACTCTTTTTGTAATATACTGTACATATCTCACTTTTCTTCCCCCCCCCCCCCACTCTCTCTCTCTCTCTATATATATATATTTCTTACCCTCCCAATCTCTCTTTACTCTCTCAATCACCTAATGATGACCTAAAAAGGATGACCTAAAAAAGATGACCCCCAACGGAACGAAATATCGATCGGTCAAATTTTCAAATTTCGGGACCAAAAAAAAAAAATGTCCTCTTACCTCCCACCCCCCCCCCCTCGCTTATTCAGCGGCTCGTCGCGAATTTTTTTGGCCAGATTTCAAAATGTTAACCCCCCCCCCCCCCCTTGAAAAAAATCCTGCGTACGCCACTGACACGGGGCAATTAAAACACACCCATGGGGCAATTGTAATCACATACAATTGCATCAACAAATCATATCCCTCAGAAATACATATATACATGTACACATTGCTCTTTGTTTATTAAAGGTGACGATAGCTGGACAGATTTTCAACAATATTATAGAACCCAATAGAATATTTTTAATAAAAACTATGAAAAAGGCTTGACTCATTGCCTATATATTTTCCTAGTTAAGTGGGGAAAATTATACTAGTTCTTACGTTGTTACATTTGCCCCCGAGGAGGGCGGCCATTTTTGTTTATATTTTTTTTCTTCTTAGCATTATAATTCCTCCATGAAACTTTCGCCAAATACAGGCCTAACATCTTGGGGTCTTTTGGACCTAAATACAAAATGAAAATCAAGCTCTTATTGGTCCAGATTTTTTCTTAAAGGTAATTCAAGATTTTACTTCCGATGTTTTTGGCTGTAAAAAGTTCCTCGATGTATTGACCTGCCCATGGACCTGCCTAAATACCCTTAGGACAGATGTGGGGCAACGAAATGTGTATGGTCTGTGTAGAGCGTGTTCCTAATATAGGGATGCATGGAGCCTCCGTTACCTAGCTTTGCAACGTGTTACTTTTGTCCCCGGTTTCAACATATATGTAGGATCATCCCTGAACAATAGGTGTAAGGATCTACTCTTTGTCCCCGGCGAGGATCAATATCAGGCCACATTCAGATTAAGCTTCGTTTGTATGTGACAGGAAGTGTGCTATTAAGCCTTGACCCGGCGTAGTTCTTCATACATGTAGCTGAATGCAATGTTGTAAAAGTTAATGTACGAAAATGAGGAAATCCAAAATAACACTGATCATGACATAAAAGGGGATAGGGCACTTTTTACAAAGTTAAAGTGGCACTCTTTCTTTGTAACCAGGGGCATTTTAGGGGTAATTGAAAAAAGTTCAAGGGGGGGGGGGGGCACTGTACCGCTAGCTAAACTTGACACAAAGACAGTTGGCAATTCACTAACTATATATTTATTCACGGTTTGCTACTGTTCCCTGTAGCCTTGTGACAATTGTAAATATTTTTTATAATTCTGACATATCAACTTTATTGTATTGTAGTTAAATACTTACTTAAAGGTGCATATCTTGGCATGATTTTTTATTATTTTGAAGCCATTATCGTTTCATAACTGGAAGTCAAGTGTTATATTTGCCACACCCATGGGGCAATTGTAATCATATACATTGTACCAACAAATCATATACCTCAGAAATATATATATTGTTCTTTGATTATTAAAGGTGACGATCTGGACAGATTTTCAACAATTAAACATCATTTTAGAGAACCCCAATAAGATAATTTTAATAAAAACTATGACAAATGCTTGACACATTGCCATTATATTTAGTTCCAGTTAATTGTGGGGAAAATTATACTAGTTCCTACGTTGTTACATTTGCACCCGAGGTGGGCGGCCATATTTGTTTTTATCTTTTTTCTTAGCATTTGAAATCGTCCTTGAAACATTCGCCAAATACAGGCCTAACATCTTGGCGATTTTTGGACCTAAATAAAAATGAAAACCAAGCTCATAATTGTCCAGAATTTTGTTTGAAGGTAATTAAATTCAATTCAAGGTTTTATTTCGAAAAACATAGAGTAGGATGCACATGCTGTAGCTCAGTGAAAGCTGAAATGTTTATGTTTACAAGTATTGAGGATACATATAAATAGGAAAGAATATCTATTCATGAAACATATCAACATAATCGTACAAAACCATGACAGATAAAATAATGGTCTGGTTAAAAAGACAACTGGTCAAATATAAAAATAAAAAAGATTGGGTTTTTAAAGAAAACTTAAAACAATCAGCGATGATTAAGAAGATCAATATAATTTGGTATTGCACTTTGTTTAAAGGCCCACTGCACTACTTGTAGGTACTTGCGCCCTCTATATAACATACAATGCCTAATCGGTGACCATTGGTCCCCCATGATCCTCTTTTTCTTATGTTAATTGAGAGCTGAGTTGATGAGATAACCACCTGTCCAGTGACCTTGCAGAGCGGTCTAATCCCTCCTGTAAACTATGGCAGATAAGCTTTAAAACGAGAGGTTCTGCATTTATATTGACTATACTTGTGTTTATTTCGTAATGACATGCCAACGATTTATCGTTCAGGAATCCAGGAATTTTTCACGCCTTATTTGTAATCGTTCAAGCTGGCATCGTTTTAAGGCGTCTTCATAATTTATAGAACTTTTCCCTAGGATGATTTTACATATCCTTTTCTAAGTTGACATAGGCCTAGATTTTGGTCTCTCACAATTTTCAAAAATGTTATGCAATAGTCGAACAAGATAGTGAGATGTTGATAAACCAGGTCTATTGCCATATATTGGTGAGGGTCAATGTACTTATATATGTCTTCCAGAAGCCACTTGGCTATAAAAGATTCGGCCATTTTTGAGATACGACTATATAGTTAACGCTATGGGGCGTAGTTGTTCAGTTGTTGGTGATTGAGGTTTTGGGATTGGAATAAGTTGACTTCTTTTCCACTGCCATGCTATGCCCTGATGAAAAGATGCATTTAAGATATCTGCTACAGGCTTAATTCATATGCAAATTCACGAACTTAATACGAGGTGGAAGATCTTCTTTCAATCCTGCTTTGTTACTTTTTATCTTTTGGAGTATGTTGAAAACCTCATATTGCTGGACCTCTGGTATATTGATTGTGAAGGTAAGAATGCAGGTACATGTATAAATCTGCTCGTGTCCAGGGGTCTGAGGTCTTTTGTTATTGATATAAACAGCTTGTTAATAGCTTCTGCTGTTTTTTCATAACATTTAGGGTCATTATCTGCAATACCTTGTTCTTTTATGTCTGGTTAATCTAAATTTCTTTTACTTATTATCTTGATCTGTTTTTACCATGCACCTGGGTTTGTTGTTATTATTGTTGTTATTTCAAGGTGTGAAACACGAGTATTATAATAACGATTGCAAAACGAAGAAGCAAAATTAAAATCATGAAAGAAAACTTATGCAGAGAAATTAATTACGTGATAGAATAATGGTATACACTTTTACGGCGCTATAATGATGAAATTTGATTTGGAAACTAGGAATAACGAGGTGCCGTGAAATGGCTTCAGATTCATGATTTAGAGTATTTGAATAGTGTTATTATAGTGATGTAATATATTTCGACAGCTATTGATAAGAATATACACACAGGAACATAATTTGAAATTGTTTATGCGTTACAACTGCTTGTCTTTACATTTACAAAATTTGTTGGATCGCAGTAACTCATTTCGTAGAGAAAATAGAGAGGGGGTAATGAATGATGTTTGACAAATAAGTGAAAATACAAATATAAAAACAAAATAATGCTACATACATGTATAAGAAAACGAAATCCAAGACGGCGTCGGTTGAACAGAAATAAAAACACTATTGAGTAGGAAAGAGAAACCAGTAAGAAAAGTTATAATAACTTAAGGCAAGTTCAAGTTCATTTTTTATTCAAAACCACACAAAACATGATATATAACCTTTTACTAAAAAGAGACTGGTAATAGTACATTAATCGACATATATTAACTTAATTACATCATAAAATGAATGGTTTTAGGACCCCTTTAGAAACTAAGCTCGTGAGCGGGGCCCTACAGTTAACAAAATACATACATGTACATTACCAATATGGCAAGGTGAATACAAAAAATGCAACGCAAAGCAGAATGAGGAGGAGGCAAAGAAGTAGAAAAGAAAAGAAAAGTAAAAGCATAGTAGGAAGAAGAAGAAGGAGATTCAATACCTATGATGTATTTTTTAAATATAGATATTTAAGTAATTCGGTGTAAAAATGCAGGAGGGTCTACTATTGAAGCAAAGCTTGCAGGATGTAGCCCCCACCCTTATTATAATTATACATGTAACAAGAGAGTAATTTGGTATTGCTGTTTGAATCGAGACCTTTATTGCTCTACTCGTAAGATTGACCATATTTGTTTTTGTTTTTGTGTTGTTGCTGTTATTACCAGCGGGATTTAGTTAAAAGGTAGTGGACACAATTTTTAATATAAATCACAGTTATTCCTTACTGGATGTAGTTTAATGGCACCAACTAGGATTTACAAGGTCAATCATCCAATTCCAGATTATTATTTTTTATAGACATGCATTTAATGTGCGAATCGGGGTCACGCGGCCTCCCGCAGTTTCAAATCCATTGCACATATATTGATCACGAATGAATTATAAAAACTAGACGTTGCGTTATTTCCACAAACATCAAACATTTTGGTATAACAATTTATGTATTATAGTGATTTCAAAAGCTTTCATACTCTATGAGTGGGCTCTGTGTCACTTTGATTGTCTCACATTATAATCATTGACCAACAATAATTCAACCTCCCATCCCAACTAAAAGCCCCTGTTCTTGATGATGTGGTATTGTTGTCATTAGTGTCCTTAAACTAAAGGGACACTAGTTTTCATGCCCGCTTAACGCCCCATTGTCTGATTGCAAGCAATTTAAGTTGTAGCGAACGGCACTTTGACACCATTGTTCAGGCGGAAAACAATGCTTCCCTCAAAGCAAACTTGCCGATTGGTTGGCGCGGCCGTTTTTTTTTCTTCATCCCACGACAGGTCCGGACCGCGTCTTATTTTTTCTGTCGTACTCAAGCGAGCCTAGATTCCAGTATGAACTCATTTCCATATATAACAAGCTACGAAAAGCTTGCAAATAGGTCACAATTATACTTTGATTATCAATTGCTTTGCCTCACTATTTATTAAGGCACGCATCGTTATAGCTCAATCGATAAAGACGGCGTTACACAACGTTTGAGTTGTGGGTTAGAAACTTAGAATATCAGTATTTATTCAGTTCTATTTTGCCTTTATAAATAGTGAGGCAGAGCAATAAATAATCAAAGTCTAATTTTTTGTGACCTCTTTGCAAGCCGATAATTACATAAAAAGTATCAGCCAAAGTCCGAAACTCTCGTGAGAACAGATGACTCCCCTCGCCCAGTCATGGATAATGTCGATATCAAAAACATAGTATAACGATCTTTATAGTAACGAATGAGCTGGTGTCCCTTATTTTAAATGGTTCTGTCTTGTAATGTAAATTATCACAACATAATTAGTTGTACTAGCCCTCCTTTGAGTTTTGTAATAATATTTGTTTTTATATTTACAACTTAGGAATAAAAAGTCCCAGCCCCCCCCCCCCCCTTCTCTCGTCGTTCATCGCTTTTGTCTTTTTTCTCACCTAGGAAAACATCCGAGAATGCTTTTCGGGAAGTGGAATGATTTTTTGAATTTTCAAACAGTCTAAAATAAAACTAGAGACAAATACTGCAATTACAAATATATAGGAGAGACAGAAAGCGTCGTCTTTGCTCGTCCCCGTTGTCCTCGTTCAATCCACCCTCCCCCCTCAGCTCTTGGCAATTCTTGCTTCTACTCAACTAGTCCATTATCTGGCCTATTTAATTTTGATCTCCACCACACCAACGCTACCCCCCCCCCCCCCCCCCCCTCCCTCCCTACTTACTTGCTACCAGCCGATGGTGGAGTGATAGGACGCCCGGCAAAATGGTAAGCATAATTATGAGTTTGTTGATAACGCCATCTTCGACGGCTTGAATCAACACAATTCCAGCGAGCAATCGAATCGTGTAAATTTAAATCGTGTAATCGTGTTGCGGAGATTTTCGGCGGGCAGATTACACGATTACACGATTCGACCTGAATTGAGGAATCGTGTAATTTTACACGATTACACGTTTACACGATTCAAATTCCGATCAATTGGCAAAAGACGAATCGTGTAAAAAAAATGGTTACACGATTCGAGCGAGCAATCGAATCGTGTAAATTTTGAATCGTGTAAATCGTGTTGCGGAGATATTCGGCGTGTACTGTATGACTGCACAGTACCTCAATAAAGCTCTTATTAGTTCAAACCAAGCTCCCTAACTGATCTTCTATAAGAACATAATACTGATGCTGGTTCAGTTGGGTGTAAGATATCGTGACAGCTAGGATTGTTGCAATAATTAATTGATACTCAAGACAAATTATTCACCTGCCAACATATCAGGCAAAAATCATGTGGAATGGGTTAAGGTCCTTTCAGAAACCTTAAATATGCTCTGGGCTTGACTTTGTAAAAAATTTGGGGTTTGGATTGTAATTGGCTTTCAGCCTAGTTGACATTAGGGTTAAGCTAAGGATTGGATCATCCAACTGAACCAGAATGGCACTCATCTTAAGGACTTGCTCAGCCACAGATTCTTTGCGGAGGGAATGCTCTACAACCGTCACACGATGGACAAGGTCTACAGATTTGATTCTTTAAATGTGTTTCAACATAAAAATGTCACTAACATTCCACCAAGAACAAATTCCATGGCTTAGAGAGAATAAGAAAATAACAGCTTTAAAGCCCATCTGCACTAGTTTGGCCAGGGGGGATTAGACCTCCCTGCAAGGTAACTGACAGGTGGTTATCTCACCAAATCAGCTTTCAATTAACATAAGAAAAAGGGGATCATTGGGGACCAACAGGCACAGATTGGGGAAGTTTTCTATATAGAGGGAGCACGTAGCAAGTAGTGCAGTGGGGCTTTAAATCTCCTGGCTTACCGTCCAACTTCATCCGACTGATCCAGACTTCCCGTCATCTTGAGGAGATGCTCAGAGACAAACTCTTTGCTGAGGGTATGCTCTACGGCTGTCACGTTATGGCAGCTGATCTCCAGATTGTCACAATTCCTATCGTAGTCAAGAAAGAAGAGAATCTTAAAGTTGTTGCCCAGGTCTGAAAAGCTGTAGCTCAAGATTGATTTTGTTTCGACATATTATTTGTTTCACATCAAATTTTGCCAAGAATAGGAAGAAATGTAATAGGGTAACATACATGGTCTATGTAGGCCACAAAACACAGAGCTGTTAGTTTAGGATGGGTGTAAATTCAAATTTTAAAGAAATTTGAAATATGAGAGCAAGTCAAGAGCGAATCTTTCTTGTGACATTGCTTCTTTATTCTTCCAGACTGATATCACAAGAATGAGAACGCGCACGAATCATTTTTTCAACTTTACCAGAATTTCAATCTACTGTTCAGTTTCTTACTTGTGGACATAGTCGCAGAAGGCCGAGGCTGTTGGCATGAGCTTGTCCATCAGGGCTTCGTCTCCCTTGGACCGGACATGTTCAACGAGACAGCACCAGTACAGTACGTTCTCACAAGACAGCTCCTCAATCGGTATTACAAGACTATGTGAAGGAAACAGATGGAGAGAGATGCATCCAAGTCTTGTTATCAAGAATGATGCTACCTTTATAATATGATTAGAGGAACATTTAAATTTTTGTCAAAAGACAACGACGGTGGTGGTTTCTTGTATAGCACCAGTACCAGTAGTATGTCTCACAAATTGAATGGTAACTATTAACCGTTAACTTTGGTTTAGTGCTTGCAATATAAAATAAACACACATTCAGAAAGTTTTGTTCATTTCTTACAACTAAATTCCTATCAATCATGTCACAACATGAATATAATATATTTCTCTTTTTTCCATGGTTTTCTTGTAAATTTTCAAGCTGAAACTCTATTCAATGGTATGTAAACTAGACTTCACCATTATCAAAAAAATTGAATACACAATTTTAAATACTTAATATCATTGTGTACCTGATAAATAAAGCGAAATGTATTTAATGGTATTAATCACTGCATGCTTTTAAGATTCATCTGTTTCTAGATACAGGAAAAAGAAACATGCTATTCTCAAAACCCAAACATTCATTTTAGTTCTTGGATGGCATGTGGCAATATTTACAGCTTTGCACATCTCCAGACACAAGAATATTTTTACATTTCTCATGATACTACTTCCTGCTCTTGGAGGAGATCAACATCTTCCACCAATTCTGGAGTGCAAACCTTCTCAAATGATTGTCTTTGAGGACAAGTTCCAGTTGTATCTGAACGGAGATTAAAAAGTAAATTCATAGACTTAAAAAATCTCAGATCCCCACTTACTCTTCATTGAGGAGATCAAAGTCTTCCACCAATCCTGAGGCGGGAACCTTCTCAAATATAGCCTTCAGGGCAAGCTCAGCCGTGGTGCACGAGTTCTCGACGTCCAACCGCTTGAGGAGGTCGATGGCGTTACCATCAAAGGTTCTCAGCCAACTTTGAAGCATCTTGCCAGTGCAGATGTCCTTCACCATGTCTAGTTATAAAGGTTAAATTTATTGAACAATCTTTTATAAGTGATCGATATATCTCTTTATATGTCACACAAATAATCTCCCTGTGCCACATTGCATTTATCAAGGAATAGATATACCAAATACCAGAGGTTAGCAGTACTTGTCCAAGAAAGGTGTTTAAAGGGCAAGTCAACTCCAAAAATAACTTACTTTCAATAAAAGCAGAAAAATCAGACAAACCAATCAAAAAAGTTTGAGAAAAATTGGATTACTAATAAGAAAGTTATCAATTTTTGAAAAAGTATGTAAAACTATGGAACAATGAGAATCACAACACAAATTGCCAAGATGGCACTCCAACATTTGGCAAATATGTCTTTGAATGTTCAGCTTTCATTATTTACAGCAAACCTCTTATAATCAAGGGCTTCCTAAATTCTACTTATGAGTGTATACCTAAATGATCAGTGAGTCCAGTCTGTAACACTTTGATCCTCTGCGAGATGGTAAGGGCCCTGATATGAACCTTCTCTGCAAGAACCTGAATGCAAACATGATGGTTTAAAGTAAAAATGATTTAGTGGCCTGGTGGCCATATGTATAGAAACACCACCTGTCTATAAAGACCAACTGTATATAAAAAGACTACAGTTCCTGTTTCCCTTGATTAGTGTTTTTCTCTTCTCTTAAAGACCTAATGTAAACATGACGATTACATAGAGTGAAACCTGCTAATTTACAGCCATGTGTATAGAAATACTACATGTCTATAAAGATCAGTTTATGTTTTCTTTCATACATGCTTTGTTCTTCTTCTACTCTGCAAGAACTAATTCAAACATGATGACATAACGGCTTTAGTAGCCATGTTTACAGAAAGACCACCTTTATAATAAAGACCGCATTCTAAATTACCCTTGATGTTTTTTTCTTCTTCTTCTCTTTAAGAACCTAATGCAACCATGATGACATACAGTAAGACTGGCTTTAGCAGCCATGCTAATATTAAAAGACTACTGTCTATAAAGACTATACATCAAGACCTTCAATATTCAATATTTCTAGCCTAAAAGCACATGAATGATAAGTTTACTCCCCTGAAACATGAATGCAACATTCTTGCAAAGTGGCATGCAATGAAGGATGTATTACCTGGTAGGCCATCTTGCGGACAGTGTCTTTGATTTCCCTGGTGCGCTCCAGGATGGCTACATCAAGAACTTCAATATTTAATATTTCTAGCCTAAAAGCACATGCATGGTAAGTTTACTCCCATGAAACATGAATACATATAACATTCTTGCAAAAAGGATATATTACCTGGTAGGCCATCTTGCGGACAGTGTCTTTGACGTCCCTGGTGCGTTCCAGGATGGCTGGTAGGGTCTGGGAGGCAGGAGCAATGCAGGACAGGACTGTCCTCCTCACCTCAAAGTTCACATCCTTCTCCATCAGGTAGAGGTATGCTATAGAAAGTGTGGAGGACAAAAAGTAACAATATGAGTATTAAAGCCCCACTGCACTACTTATAGCTAATTGCGCCCTCTATAAAGAAAACAATGCATAATCGGTGACCATTGGTCCCCCATGATCCCCTTTTGAGAGCTGATTTGATGAGATAACCACCTGTCAGTGACCATGCAGGGAGGTCTATTCCCTCCTGACTAAACTAGTGCAGTGGAGCTAACACATTACCTACTGGAACTTTTGATCCCTGTAAAAAGCCTATGAGGATTAGAGAATTCAGTAGTCAAAGGTGTATAATACACACACTGATGGCAGAAGCAAGGTCGTGAGAATGTGTGTTGTAATTGTGGTTAGTTGGGAGCAGGGCTCTACATTTACCTAATACTTTAGCTAATGCTATAGGCCGATTCTGTGCAACGTATCATGTACGACCTATGACTTTTTTCACATATTTCATCCAAAATGAAGAATCTCTTGATATGACCATTGAATAATGGTGCTTTGCGGTATCACTACTATTAGTCAATCATGGATTAAATATAAGGATAAATGTCATGTCGCAAAGGACACATTGCAAAGAATCGCCCCAAGGCTTACCGAACCGAACCTAGAACCCAATTGCAACCCTAAAACTACATCTTTGATGAAATAAAGCCCAGAGCAATTGTTGCTGGTGCATAAGTCAAAGTATCAAGACAACCTACCCTTGATGACTGGACAGTCCGGATCCTCGGGATCCTGCAGACGAGCCAGCGCCATGACAGCCTGGACTCGCACCGCAGGGAACTTGTCCTGAACCCTGGCCAGCATACAGCGATAGATGCGATCGTAGAGGTCATCATCGATCTGAGCCTCCTCGCCAAGGCTGGTGAGGAGCTTGTTAATCATCTGGCAGGCGCGGAATCGCACTGCACGGTCACGCCCGTTGTGAGACTGGTAGAAGGGGAGAACAGGATAAATAGTTACCTTTAACTTATCCAATTCACAGCATACAACAAAGGGGAGAGGTATTTAAAAGATATGCTGACAAAATGTCTATATGTGTATGATCAGTAACTAAATTACATTTGAGGTTAAATAGGTGTTGGTATAATAAAATATTTGATTCATTTATGGTAGTACACAGTACACAGCAAAGGGGAGAGATACTGAAAAGAGACGCTAACAAAATGTCCACAACTGTATGTGTATGATCGCTTACAACTTCATAACTTTTTTGTCTGTCATTAAAATTTCTGCAATCTTTCACAGCTCTCTTTCTTTAATTTTCCTGTTTTAAAAAAGTCCTTGGTAACTAATAGCGTGGTAGCTAGCTACAGAGCAATGTTCATTCACCTTCAAGAGAAAATCAAAGAGGAAAGTGAGGAAAGTGTTGTCAGCATCCGGTTGGTTCTCCTTTCCTTCCTCGTCATTGACGGCAAATGACGCAGCAAACTTTGCAACAAAGTCCAAAGTTCGTTCAACTGCGGATTCCCTCTTGAAGATGACCATGGAATACTTGAGGTATCCAACAAATTCATCATTGAATGCTGCTTTATCTTCGGTCTGAAAAAAGAAGAAAGAAAAAAATTCTCAAAGAAATTGGTGCACAGATGTGCTTTTTATTCATTGCATATATATGCACATCATGGTGCCTACAGTCATTTTGGTCTTATTCCTCTTCCTTTGTTTTTAAACAACATTACAAAAATACATAATACAGATGAGCTGAATTCCACCCTCATCCGAAACAAGGAAGTTCAATTATCGACAATCGACATGATAGGCATAATTGTAACAGGTTAAAGTTTAGCTGTAAAACGCAAAACTAATAAAAGACACATACTAAGGAGTAAGGTGGTTACCTTAGACTTAGCAAAGTATGCTATCAATTAGCATTTTTTGATATGCTGGAAGGAATTGATGAAAATAATTGTCTTCCAAACAATAAGGACCGGAATGTCTCTTAGAAAAAGAGAAACTTTTTACATGCTTTGATCGACTAATAGAGCAAAACAGTGTACTGCCACAATCGACTTTTGTCACTCAAAGTGTTTATGAACCATATACGTGTCCTCCAAAACATGGCAGGATGGGATTTTGATCCATGGCAAGTTAGAGTTTTAAAAAAATTTCTAAACTTGACGTACAATCTAAATTTTAAAGATTAATCTACATAGTTATTCAAAGGCATCGTTTAACAATGTTAAATCTGAGATGCACGGCCCTAGGTGTTATCAGTGTATGTGACATGATGTAATATTGAAGCCCTAAAAATAAAATTTCGCTTCAAAAAGGATCAAGAAGTGCCTCAAATCTTTGAGTGACCGGTTTTACCTCACTCATTTTCCCCACTCATTTTCCCCAATAGACTGTAGTGTTATGAAAACTGTTAGGAAAACGCAAAATTTGATTTCGATTTCAAATCATAAATATCTTATAATCAGACAGGTGATTGGCTATTTGGCTTGTAAAAGTCATGGGGGTTTGTGACTGACCTAAAGGTTTATAATTATCATTGCAGCATGAGCTAAATCCAGGATTTTGTTTCAGAATCTGAGACAAACTTGCCCAATCCCTTAGATAACGCATGCAAATTGCCAAGTACCTACATATAGACACAGTGTACTCAGTGGAAGTGAACTGGTGTTTTCAGGTGGTGTAGGTACTAAAGGCTCTATATATATCTGAATGGTATGAATTATGATATCATTTGGATAAGAATGACCGGATCCCTTTAAAGATCTGTGTTCTCACCTGCTTGTAGTTCTTCTGCAGTGCTGTCATCAGCTTGTTGTGTGTATGAAGACCTTGCTGACATTCTTCAAAGACCTCCTTCATGGTGTACTGGCGCTTTGGAGCCATCTTCCTTTCACTTCATGTAGTCTATGTCTAAGTTTACACAAAGCCTGGAAAGTAATTTACAATGTGTTATTTATTCACTGTTTTCATATCCAGAAACGCAAGTGATGATTGGTGTATGACTATAAAAAAGGCAGAGTTTGATTATAGACCAAATTTTTCTGTCTCTTTCGTTCGTTAGCCTCTGATTTGGATATGGTCGGCTCTCTCTCTCTCTAAAAAAAGAGAGAGCCGCGACCCTACCCAAATCAGAGGCTAACGAACGAAAGAGACAGAAAAATTTGTGCTAAGTTTGATATTCCCAAATCCAATCATACAATATTTATCCTGCCCTTTTAATTACTTTATAAACAACACATGACTCATGAGTATAAAAAATAAGTATCATGGAACAATACACACAGCGAAATAATTGTTAGTAAATATAGCACTGAAAACAATGACAATATGAAATATCAGGCACAAGACAAAAACATGTTCGCTACCTCGGACCTCCGCATTGCGGAGAGCGCTCATACAATTTAAGACTAGGTTCTCAAGTCTCAACGATTTAAAGGAGCAGCAAACATCCCAAAATCGCAAGCCTGCTGTTACGATTATGCAAGATTGCATAAATGATCGCATCCATCCAGCTGTCAGATTGTGGTGGGACCACACTCTATGCCTCTGGGTTTTTGCATCAGCGCAAAATTCAAACCAAGTGGTGGAATCGTAGACATAGAATCTAGGATCAAAGCTAGGGACTGCATCGTCAAAAGTTCATTCTTAGTCAGTAGGGGCGCTGGTCCGAGAATGAGGATCGTCCTCATAAACAAGGATATCCTCATAAACGAAGACAAAATGTGTCCTCAAAAATAAGGGTCGTCTGCATTTTCGAGGACGTTTTTTTTCATCGGCGCTCTGGGGGTTTCATGTTACCGAACGGCCCACTGGCGATGCCAAAAATGGATTCCCCGAGGGAAAATAACCCTAGTTGTCTGTCTACTTTTATGGGTTGTCCGTCTTCCCAAGGATTTATTGCTCATAATGTGAAGGTCTCTGTACAAAGTCAATGTAAATTGCATCAAGAAAATCATTGCAGAATCCGTTTTTTGCATCGCTAATGCGCCGATCAAAAATATGAAATGTCTGCAAAAATGCAGACGGTCCTTATTTTTGAGGACGCATCGGTCAGTGTTAAAGAAGACGATCCTTATTCTCGGACCAGCGCCCCTACTGTTAGTCAGTAGGCCATAGGCCTAGGTCCATGGTCTCACTCTCACTCTCAGCTCACTGCACTCTCACTCAGTCTCAGGTCTCACTCTCACTAGATCTAGGCCTGGCCTACTTGTTTCACAGTTTACTTTTCAGCTCCTCAGCTAGCAGTAGCTAGCAGCTGAGAAAAGTCAGATTTCCAATTTTCAAATTATCTTTTCCAAAATCCAAGTTCCAACATAGGTCTAGACTCTAGACTAGATCTACTCATCTACTTGATCTAGACTAGTCTAGACCTAGAAGTCTAGTAGGGTCTAGTCTAGACTACTGAGTTGAAGTGCCTGCGCTTTTCTGTTTTTAGGTGTAATCAATTGTCATTAAATTTAAGACCAGTTCAAGTGCTGATTTGGAGAAAATTCTGCCTGGTGAGTTTTGTCCAGTGCATTTACTGTCGGTCCGTGAGCAGACCGCCCGGCCGCGCCGTCGGCGTATCCACCCCTGCCAGCGCCCTGCGTCCGCAGTGGCATTGCCAGAGCAATGCCACTGCGGACGCAGGGCGCTGGCAGGGGTGACGCCGACCCGAACTCGCAGTTATGATAACTTAATAGTAGTATCAATCAATCAATCAATTATCTTTAATCTAGCTATCAAAGCGAAGCGTTACTTATAAACAAAAATATAGAATTATAAATTGACATAAACATTATTTACCTTATATCTTGTAAAGTGACAAATCTCGGTGTTTTGATTGACCACTTCGTCGTTAGATTTTGAAAACAACCGCGATATTTCTGAACGTTGAGGGCAGCAAACCAAACACGGCTCTTATTCGAGAGCCACATGCACAGTATCGTTTTTATAAATATTTATTTCATTTTGTTGTCCTTGTTATCCTGAGCAGTGGCGGATCCCTGGGCCCCCCCCCCCCCTTGAGAAAAAATCATGTAAAATCACGTGATTTTTACCTTTTTGGGGGTTGGCCCCCCCCCCCCCCCCTGGCGCTCAAGGGGTGGGGGGGGGGGCAAATTTTCCTGAGTATGTTTATGCTGAAATATGTTATGCGCGGTTCACAAAGATGTTATGATACTTTTGCTGAGTTATTTCATCTTTTTAATAGAATGTTTTGAATAATAAAGAAACTTAATAGGCCTCAAAGGCAACTTTTTGTTAACCTTCTTCAAAATTTAGGCTTCTTTAGATCACAATAACGAGTGCTTCTTGAGGGAAAATCAATATGGTGTCCAAGATAACAAAATTAACATGCTTTCAGTCTACTTTGTTTGGGGTAGACCTATACCCATATTTTTAAAGACACTGATGGCTAAATAACTTAAAACGGACCTCCGTTTCCTGCATTGATTCGAAATTTTTACGATTGTAACACTGAGCAGGGGCGTACGGAGGGGGGGGGGGGGTTTGGGGGTTCAAACCCCCCCCCCCCTTTAGTATTTTTATGTGTGTAAACCCCCCTAAAAAAAACTAAAACCCCCCCCCCCTTTATTTTTTATTTTATTTATTTATTTTTTTTAAATAAAAAAAATAAATAAATAAATTATGCCCACGGCTAACGTAAAGTGACCTTACCCCCCCCCCCCCAACGAAAAAATGTCAAATTTTCAAATGTCAATACCAAAAAAAAAAAAAGTGTTTCCGCTTATTTGGGGTCGGAACTGTAATTTTGAAAGAAAACACTGATTGATGTAGCCGGCCATGAACTAAAGCGGCCCAATTTAAGCCCGGGGGGGGGGGGGGGGGGCTTGACTCAGATTTGTTTTGGCTGGTGGGTACGTGCGCCGCTCCAACCTCGAAACCCATTTTAAAGGTCATTTTGAGGGATTTTCTCGAAGTAAAAACCATTTTTCACAATTTTCGAAAAATCGGACCCATGTTTAGGCATATTTTTGTTAAAAATTGGACCCATGTTTTAGGATTTTATGTGAAAAAGTGACCCACTAGAGCGGCGGCACACCCCCGTATGTCTTAATGTGAGTAGGCCTACCCCCCCCCCCCCCCGGAATTTACGAGATATACAAAGCAAAATATACATAATATCCATTACAAGAATTAAAAAAAACATCAAATGTAAATCATTATGTCGTACAAAATATTAAAGATCACCATAATAGACCCGTTAAATTTATAGACAATTAAATTGAAGACAATTTTATATTGACTTCTTAATAATTTTCAATCATGTTTCTTTCTTTTTTTTTGGTTATGTTATTATAAAGTTATATTTTATACCAAATCTTAAGGTGATTTATCAATTTATCTTAATGTATTTGCTCGAATCTAAATTAAAAAAAATTGATTTGAAGGATTGAACCAACATGGAACATGTTATACTCATACAAACAAACGAGAGAGAGAGGGAGGGAGAGAGAGAGAGAGAGAGAGAGAGAGAGAGAGAGAGAGAAAGAGAAGATCAAATTTAAACAAAAATGTCAAACGACATTCGACCAGTAAAGGCTTTGGCCTTATTCGTGTATAGTAGCGTTAAATGAGCCCTTTTTTCTTCACACTAGTATATCCATGGTCATACATAAATAAATTGTTACACAGCTAGACTTATATGAGGACCTGGATAATGGATTATTAAGCCGTCACAATAGTTGATTTTCCCGAGTAATATTATGTTGTGATTTTGTGAAATACATCAAGGAAATTGTGCAATAATTACATTATTAATCACACAAGCAATAATTACTCGTTTTCAGCGTTATTTTATCATATAGGCCTACATGTACATGCAATTTTTATTTAAATTTCGGGGGACAAATTCTTATCCCAGAAAGGTTTAATTGCAAATCATCTTCATTTGAATTCTGCGAGGGAGCGTAGTGATCGAGAAGAAAGATTAACTCAGTGGCGGATCCAGGCCCCCCCCCCCGACCAAATTTTAAAAAATTGAAATCAGCCCCAATTCGCCCAAAATGTACTGGCAAACAGGGACGTTCCCCCCCCCCCCGGGAAGAAATTCCTGGATCCGCCCCTGTAACTACATACAGAGTATAGTACATGTCTATTTTTAGAAGGGGTAGTGAGCACTAATTTTACGAAAATCGTGCCGGCCGAAAATTCGCTCAGTGGGGGGAGGGGGCGGGGGGTAGTGAGCACTTTTTTTCTCCTTTTTTTGCCCTCGAAAATTTAAAAGGCCCCCCCCCCTTGAGCGCCAGGGGGGCCCATCTTAAAAAAAATATTAAAATTCACCTTTTTTGCCAGGGGGCGGGCCCCTCGACCCCCCTGGATCCGTCACTGCCCCCCCCCCCCCCCACCCCTTATCCCCTGTCAGTCTCTACAGACTGTTCTGAACAAAGCTAGCTGCGGTCATCAAAGAGGCCATTGCCTTTTGGCGTTCCATAATTTGTAGTCTGCAAATGAATCTGTGACGTGAGTGCGAATCTCATGTTGTGAGTCAGAGCTGGGTATGTTTGTTTAAATAATGTTTGCCTTTATCGTAGATTAATTTTATTTTTAGCGTATCAGTTCTAGTTTGAATGTTCAAATTATCATTGCTGACTGAACAGTGTGGCGCGAATGAATTCAATGATTGAGACTGAACGAGTGAAAGAGAGCGGAGTGTGTCCGAATTTGTACCCGGTTGTTGGCAGGGGCCCAACCGGAGCCTCGCTCGGCGCCGCGGCCACGGCGGGTGCAGTAGCCTCTTGTGTGTAGTGCATCGGGGAAGTTGACGCTCGTCTTTGCAAAGAAATGGTTTTGTGAATATTTGGCAGAAAAGTCGAGCGACAGCATCTAGATTTTGTAAAACGACCCCAGGTATCTAAAGGCTACTATAATGAATAAAAAAAAAATAAAAAAAAATAGAAATAGATCTAAAGTATAAAGGCTCAAATAAAGCTAATAAAAATTAAAGCTGCCTATTGTCTTAGTATTGAAGGCAACATGTTTTCACAAGAATAAGGCATACAACCTCCAGCCAAACCATTGTATACAAGTAATTCTTTGAATTTGAAATGTTTTGTTTTATTTTGAGGCTTATTTCTGTTTCACTTTTATTTCAGATAGAATGAGGATCAACGAAAGGACTTGTATCATCGGCACCAATGTGGTCTTGGTGCCGTACAAAGATTTTCATGTTCCCAGGTAAGAAACTAAAAAACCCTCATTAAAGTCATAGTTCGTCGAAAGACTAGTACAAGGTTAAATTATTACATGAACATTGGATGATTGGGTAGAAAATATATCTAAATTGTGAGAGAAGGTCTGTGAAAGTTCTTTTGAATGAATGATGAGAGATGGTTTAATAGTATAGTATTAATGACTGCTTTGAGAGAAATAGTTGTTTTATTACGCTCAAGGGAAGGTAAGAATTGTGCTATTACCCGAGGCGTGCCGAGGGGAATAGCCCAATTGTAACCTTCCCGAGAGCGTATAAAAACAACTATTTCTCGAATATTAAAGCAGTCATTAATACTTTTATATGCCAAAAAAAAATAGACTAAAAAATAAAAAATAAAAAATACTTTTTTTTTTTGTCGAAGATGAGATTCGAACTCTTGCGTACAAAAGGTGATGTATCTAAAGTCAGCGCCTCAGACCTCTCGGCCATCGCGCGATGTTAACATGCTTGGCAGCTTTATACAATATATACATTAGATGGATTGAAACCGGCTTCGCGTGTGATGAATGCTTCGCAAAAGCTCCATATACGGACTCTTCTTTTACTTTTGCAATGCATATTGGCACAAACTTAGATCAAGATCTATCGGCAGATGTTGTTTTTTGTTTTTGGAAGTTTATTTTCGTCTTCATGTCAACAATGCAAGATAAAATTGTCGGTAAGATCGATCGAGATTCAATTGTATTGAAATTACCGACCAATCCTTCGCACACATACGGTATCCTCCATCGCTCAAACCATTTTTTAACATGTAAACCTATGGGGTAACCATGGAGGCTGACCAACTATTTTTAATAACCATGGTTATTAAAAATATTGAAATGTTTTAAGCATGGTTACCGAGAATTTTACAGGAACAGTTGAAGTTTATGAATGCAATTCGACCAATCAGATGGCTGGATTTCTTAAGTGAGGTATATAACAATGAATATTTGTTTATTATTATGATGAGGTTTTGGAACCCTTACAAAAATGATCAAATATACTAAATCTTCACTGAACCTGAAAATCACTTATCTAGTACATAAATTTACCTGGTTACCATAAGATTAACTTCATGATTTCTCTTTTACATCATATGATGTTGCCTCCTTTCAATTATATAGATACCATGAATGGATGAAGTCAACCGAGTTGCAGGAACTAACCGCTTCAGAACCATTATCCCTTGAAGAGGAGTATGAGATGCAAAAGAGCTGGTTTCAGGATGAGAATAGTAAGGTTCATTGATTGTACAATACATGCTATGGTGGCAATTGTTCCAGGATGTCAATTCCGAATCTACTCAAATGCCTAAGTGCGCTATGCGCCAGCGATTGCTATGGAGTCCTTTTCCTAATCTAGTTGAATTCTAACCTGGATGCAACTCTATTTCTTTGTTCGTGATAACTACGCTCTCTCACAGAATATACTTTCAAATGAAGATGATCTGCAATTAAACCTTTTATATATCACATATAATTGGTTAAGAATTTTTACAAGAGATATTGTATATACATGTATATTCATGTTTATTCATGCTTAAATTTGATCTCTCTCTCTCTCTCTCTCTCTCCCTCTCCCTCTCTCTGTCTTTCCCTCTCTCAGAATGTACATTCATCATGCTGGACAAGGGCAAATGGGCATCAAGTACCGATGAGATTGGTAAGCACATTCTGTGAATCGGACCACGATTGATTTATCTCTGGAAAGCTAAGAATGAAATTACTCTGATAGGGAAGCAATGTATGTGGAAAGATTGCTTCAGTTAAGAAAATCTGAAGACTTGACCGTGGACCACAACTCAAGGCAGTGGAAATTTATAATGGAATGAAGAGGAATTAGAAAGAGCTCTGGAACAATTGGAAATAACATTCATGAAAATATTGCCCTGAGGAAAATCTCACTATTTCTGACATCAATTTTACATACTCTGCAAATAAAGACATTCCCAAGCTCAATTTTGTACTAAAGTTCAACTGATATCTCATGATATTTTCCATCAGAAAGCATGTGTGGGGATGTGAATCTGTTCTTCAATGATCCAGACGAGCCCTCTATAGCTGAGATTGAGATAATGGTGGCAGGCAAGTACAAACAAAAAATTAAAGTTATACAATTTGAAGATCTCTAAATTATTGTTAAAATTTTGTTTACAGAATTTTCAAAATGTCTTCATTCTTGAGTTTGAATGCCTATCTGCACTAGTTTGGCCAGGAGGGATTATACCTCCTTGTAAGGTTGCTGACAGCTCTCAATTAACATAAGAAAAAGGGGATCATGGGGAACCTAATGGGGAATCAACGGTACCAATAATGCATTGTTGGCTATATAGAGGGCGCAAGTAGCTACAAGTAGTGCAGGCCCGCTTTAATGAAAAAAAATATTTATTGAGTATATACATTGAACAGGAAGACAACAAAATTGGTGTTATCTTATGTCAAAACAAAAGTGAATCATAGAGTTGGTTGCTGTAGTAAACTGGATTTATATTATCCTCAATTAAGGTTAAGCCATCGCCCTTTTGGTGTTCCATATTATAATGCACACTACAATATGCATCGTTCAAGTCATTTTGAGGCTTTAGAATGTCTTCGTTTTTGTATATCCAGAATCATCCAGTCGTGGAAAGGGGTTCGGCAAGGAGGCACTTCTCATCATGATGCACTATGGTGAGGATACAATTGAAGATTTCTTCCACTGGGGCATTTTGTTCTGTTTTTGTAGCTGACAAGGGGAGGGGAAGGGGGCATACAAGTCATAAGTCTCAACATTTCTGTATATTATCCCATAACACCTGCCATAAGATGTTGATATGTAGAATAAACTTTTAGCTTTTTTTTAATCCAGAATTTGTTTATAAATGATTGAATCCCGGAATATCATATCCATGTGCACTTTTGTAAACTAAATGGAACACTATTAATTCAGTGTTATGGGCAGATAAGGCTGTCAGAAGGTGGAGAACAATGGGGACATCAGAGCCTTTGCTTACCCCTCTTGTTTACTCTACAAAGGCAGTCCTCATAATGGGAGGGAGGAGCATACCCTTCCCACATCCTCTGCTCCCCTGCAACATGTCACCCCCTTTTTAGAACCCGTTGATACCCCTGTACATTGTAGATGGACAATGGCAAACATCGAATGTAGATAGGCCCTCCGGCTGCAGTAAATTTATAATTAAATATTCTATATTCAATCAAAAGAGAAAAATCAGGACTTGTTAGAGACAGCGCTTTATTTAGTTAGACGTCCATTTTGTTTGTGTTTTAGGTATGGATTCCTTGAAGGTATCTAGATATGTTGCAAAGATCGGAGAGAAGAACAAGGTCAGTCTTGGGCTCTTCAAAAAACTAGGATTTCAGGAGGTAAGTGTGTCGCAAAATTACTCTAACAACCATGTAATTCACTGTTTCTTCCACTGAATAATTGCTACAATGCACTAGATGTTAACGTAAACGCTAATTAAATGATTGCTTTAAAGTGGAGATATCACCAGGCGTTTATTTTTCTTAATTCACATTTTTTCTGGTGATCAACTGGCTTAGGTGAGGTAAAATAGTGTGATGAGGTCAAATTATCAAACAGCAATGATCCTTGTCACCAGTTTTTAAGACAAGTAATGCAGTTGTGTTTAGGCGCTAGTGAAATAACCCACCCTTGGTACGTTTTGTACTGTTGGTACCTTCAAATTACCGGTTTGTCGGTTTGTGTTTCGGACTGATCAAAGTTACAGCTTATGTGGATAATTCTTACAAACTCCCTTGCTATTTTATATCTATATTATGTGTATGCCATTTTGGGTAAATTTTGTTTTAATTGTTAGAATAGGTTGTAAGCTGACACAGGTTAAAACCTTTGTACAAAACATTTACAGTTGGGATTTAAAAAAAAAAGATATTGCCTATACTTTTGGGATTTGAATATTCTTTATAGCTGTTGATATCATGGTACATATTATATCAAAATGAAATCAGAAAAAAGAAGCATAATTACCAAATATGTTGAAATCTTGTTTGTTATTTGTATTCATAAACTTAGTTTTACTGCAGGTTTTTTTTTTGCCCTTGTTATTTTGTAAAAACACTTGTACAATTGCACACTTGCACAATTATCTACTGAAAGTTGGTGCCAAAATTTAGTTAATTTCCTTCTCTACATTTTCTTTCACCACCAGACTTCTGTCAGCAAAGTTTTTCAAGAGGTGACCCTTGAACTTGAGGTCAAAGGTCAATTCCAGGACTGGCTGAGGGAACAGATGAGTCACTTACAGATTGTGCAGTACACCCCTAATAGATGACATATGAGTAGAATTTGTTCTTCTTCAAGAGGTGACCCTTGAACTTGAGGTCAAAGGTCAATTCCAGGACTTGCTGAGGGAACAGATGATTCACTTGCAGATTGTGGAGTACGCCTCAAATCGATGACAATGGAAGAATTTTTTTTTTTTCAAGAGGTGACCCTTGAACTTGAGGTCAAAGGTCAATTACAGGACTGGCTGATTGGAGTACACCTGAAATAGATGACATAAGAGTCATAGTTCAAAAATAAGTTTTTAAATTGTGACCTTGAAGCTCGTAGAGAAGATCCAGGCATATAACTTTGTCGTTGGATGGACAGTACATGAGTAGGTGTATGCCCTGGATTGATGATGTTAAGTTCTAGAACTTGATAAGAACTCAAATGATATCAGATTATGCTTTAATATTGTTAACTGGATTCATGTAGCGCTATGTAATACTGTCTCTTAGGACTTTACAGATATTATTACCCCTGTCATCGGACATCGGGCATCTCTTCACTTCCTGGGGAATATTCCTACTAACTTCTTTTTTGTTGCATTAACAGTAATAGTATTGAAAAAAAGAAGAGTATGTTTTATTTTTAAATGTGTATGTGATATAATTCAATTGAAACAGTTTTCAAACTTGGAAACAGTTTTTATATAAGAACAATTTTGAAACTAATCTTTTTTAATATTATAAATTTTTACAACTTACACCATGGAAACCTCTTTTATAAATATTCCTATCTGCCGTTTTTCATGAGGTAATATGTAAAAATGTTCTACACAAAATCAAGATTCTACAGATTCTGGCCAATCTGATAGACATATCAATCATTTTGGATATATATGCAAGTAATAAAAACCCTAATAGTTTTATATTTTCAATGGTATTTTGGGTGCTATTAATACTTCTGTACATTCAGACATTTTAACTTTACATAATTGTAGTTTTGTAAGGTGTTTGGCTATTCATGTCCATGGGTGTCGATCCCGGGGGGATGGGGGGGGGGGGATATATCCCCCCCAATATTTCAGGTGGGGGGGATGGCCTGTACCATCATCCCCCCCTAATAATTCACCCTCAAAAAAAAAAAATTAAGAGAAAAATTAGTGATGAGAGTAGTTAATGTTTTTATGTTGTTTCCGTTCACCCTTTTTAAAATTCACGTCATTGTATCTTTATTGGTGTTTTTTCACTCATTTTATTTCTTGATATTCCCTAAAACATTTTTCATTTTTGGAGAAAGATTATTATGTCACAATTTATTTTTGTTTTATTGAAAAGTTGATGTAGGCCTATGTCACTTGCGTTCTGGTGGGGGGGCCTCCCCCCCCCCCAAAAAAAACGAATCGTCTTCTTTCTCTAACAATTTAGCGAAACGGCAAAGCTTCCGCGCTTTGCGCTGGATGGGCGAAAATGAATACAGACAAGGATTAAGAGTAATAATTTATTGAAACGTCAAAGCTTTCGCGCTTTGCGCGGGAGGGCGGAGGGAATTGCACTCAGACAAGGACACAAAGAATCGTCTTCTTTCTCTAATAATTTAATGAAACGTCAAAGCTCTGCGCTTCGCGGGGCTTGGGGAGGGGGGTGCATCCCGCCACACGCTTCTACCTCTTGGTTGCTTTGATCCATTGCCGAAAATATTTTGGCACCTATCATCCCCCCCAACCACGGATACAAATCGACACCCTTGTTCATGTCACAATTATTTTGTGAATTACTCTTCAATAATAGGCACTAATAGTATACGTTTGTATTTGTTTCCGAAATCCGCATAAGGGTGCAAAATTTAGGGTACAACTTTTACACCCCTTGATGTTCAGTCTGGCCCTTGTTCTTCCTGGTTGCCAGTTTGCAGCCATTGGGAGCTGCTGTTGTACCAATTTTGATGCAAATTTGAACATTTGAACATGTTTAATATACCAGATGTGCAATAAAATCACAGAACATGGAATCAGAGGCAGTGTTCCAGTATTTTGTTTGTCTGTCACTTATATAATCATGATCACTCTGTGCACTGTGAAATCTCAAATGGTTTCAACTATACTAGGTTGTGTTCATGCATTTTCAAAGCCAGAATCACAAACATGAATCATGACTAAAAACAATGATTTGAAACACGTTTTTTTGCAGGACTGTCGGCGATAAAGCCCCAACAAATTTAATGGCAAAATTTCACTTAAATTGTATCATAATGTGATAGAGGATCTTATTTAAGACCATTTCTGCAAGGATTTTTTTGTTTTTTAATGTGTTTGAAGTCGAATATTGATGAAAAAATACAACATTTAGATTTTCTGCATACAACAGGAAACCCAAATTATGTATTCTTTTATCAATATTTGTCTTCAACCACTTATTCCGCAGTTTGACCTAGGAAGTAAAGGTCAACTTTGGCATTATTATTAAGTTTCCTGTTTAACAATAGGGTAGCATGGGACCATTTCAGTTTTTCAATAGACTAGACTAGCACACTTATTCTGGAGACGTTGGAGACTGCCCAAATCCTGCTTAACCATAGTTTCTTTTATGTGTTTTTCTATATTTTTTCCTTCCACCTTTTCTCCTATTATCCTTTTGTATTTCTCTTCCCTAGCTTTCCATCCTTTCTTATATTATTCAGTTGCTATTACTCTTTATCATTCCTTCTGTTATTCTTTGTTTGCATCCTTCTGTCATCTATTCCTCATATATTTCTATATCTTCCTCCTTTCTATATTTTTTCTTTAGCTGGTAATGCTAAAGTTCAGTATTTGAAAATGGAATATCTCCTGGGTCGGTTCCTTCGCTCTCTTGCATAAAATGCTATAAATAATGATTACAATAAATAATTATATGACCTAATACGTGCAGGGTCGGCGATTCATTCAACGCCTCTCCTAGAAAAAAATTATTGAAGGGTTCCTTCTTCCTATATTCATCCGCCCGCGAAATTTAGAAGAAAAAAAAATCACCAACAATATGTAAACATGCCTAAAGGGGGATCCCCGTTCGCGTTGCGCTCGATCAAATATGTGTGATCGCGATATACGATACTAGCCAGCGGTGTTCATGTTAATCGCGAAAGGAAATTCAAGTAAAAGAATCAAACTTTGGCTACCACAACGCAGAGATGAGGTTGATATACCACAGGAAGGCCTAGACCTCTACCCCAATTACCCAATTTCAACTAGATATGAGTATCAACAAATTGCCGTGTAGTTGAATGAGTGAACAGAATTCTCACTCGAAGTCTAAATTCCAGTCTCAACCAAGAAGACGCAAGACCACGCCCATGCAGCACCAGGGATCTGACCGCCTTCAAGCGTCGTGAGTCTACCGCCGCGTCGCGTCTAGATCTGCACGGTATGGTAAATATAGTTTGGCACACTGCGGCCTCGACCTCCAGCACAAAATATCACTTGCCTGGCCATCATTCATTTCATGAGTTTGGTTTTACTAAGAGAAGTGCTAGCGATACATCGTCATCGTTACCTTAAATACCCCCGGTCCCAGAATCAGATTGATAATAACGTTTTGTAGAATTTCACTTGAAAGAAGGATAGCCTAGATCTAGACTAGATCTAGAGAACTAAAGTTAGATCTACGAAGAAGAAGGAATACAATATTAAAATAAGAGGAGAATAGGAGGAGAAAAGAAGGAGGGGGAGGAAGAAGAAATGTCATCATTAACATTTACGCCTCGATCCGTCTTAATTATTCTACACATTATGTTACATAACCCATGCAGATTCATCCAAATTTAGCCTAGATCTAGATCTAGACTAGAGTCTAGGCTTGACTTGACTTAAAATGTTAACTTTTTGACAAAGTCTAAGACTAGACTCTAGGTCTAAACTAGAATCTACATCTAACGTAAATTAACAATAACAGAGAACTGGGATTTTTCTTGAGAAAGGGATGTTGTATAAATCAGACTCTTGCTTCTTTTATGATTTAATACAGATCAAGGAGCCAGTCTGATTGACTGGATTCATCTTCATCGGTCTATCTCACAGCTGTTTGTGAGCAACTGAGGCGGGAAAATCCAGTCTTGGGCTCTGAATAATTCTGCTCTGAATCAAGACCAGGAATTGGTTCCTGTCTACGCTTACATGTAGCTCCAAGTCGCCACAGCGTTCGCTCTGTGTACCCAAGACCATGTCTTACCGCATTGATCTGAAACCTAAACAAACTAAGCAGGTGTGGACACCTCTCAAGAAACCACCCCATCCTGGATCTGTTCATATACTGTCGGATGATGCCCTCCTTGTTTTGGCTGCTCTCAGAGAGGCTCACTGGAAGAAGATTGAGGATCAGCAAAGGAGATGTCAAAGGTCAACAGGTCAGTATTTTCAATTTACAGTTTGTTACTTTATTAATATCAACGGGAGGAGACCATGATCATTGTTTAATATTATGAGAGGGGATTAAGACCTTAGTTTAATCATATTGGCCCGAATTCACAAAGCAAGGTTTGAGCTCAAACCTCCTTTTGTTTCGCTAAACCTCCTTTTGTTCTTTACAAACCAGGTTTGTAAAAAACGCGTCATATGACGTACGAAAACCAAGGTTTGTCGACAAACCTCCTTTGTGAATTCAGGCCTAAAAGTTTGAAAAAATGCAGTTTTACCAAGGGAGCTATTTTTACATTTCATGAAAAATTAAATTAAACAAAGAGATACAAATTTTTAAATGTGAAACAATTTGAAACAGTAAAGAAATCCCAGTTTAATAAAGTTATATCAATGCTGCCTTAAGAAGCTATATTTTAGATTAATGTCAATTATAATAATGTCTCACTTTAAAAAAACAGAAACTTTCATGTATGCTGGTATATTAAATGTTTGCAACAATTGTGAGTGGTTCAGATTTATTACAATACATACACAAATACAAAGCTAAATTGTTGTGGTTTGTGAAAGTTTCTTGCTGTGATAGTGGTCATCCAAATCCAAATCACAAAAGTTTCATGTTGCAAAAGTTAAATTATTACGGTTATAGTTTCAATTAAATCTACGCCAGCATGGCATGGGTGGTTACTGTATTAATACTAAAGGAATTCTGAATGAAAGAATTTGGTAGTCACAAGATTGATAGGTAGAGGTAAGTTACATGTATTTAGGCTTACCATTATATTCCAACCCTGGCTTAGAGTTCCATAAGTACAAGCATGTTTCACTTTGTTTTCTTGTCCGACAGATCACGGAAGGAGCTACTACACTCAGATATATGCGCAGAGTTTTAAGATTGAAAGAGTTGATGCTTGTCTAGAAGATAGACCCAATCTAGACACACAGATGGTTCCAGGACCAAGAACTGTAAGCCAAGTTTATTCATCACAACCACATGGGCAACTTGAAAACTTTGACAGTAATTCTGGAAACACTGAGCCAACTCCAGATCCAACGATGTCCATTGAGTTGGTCTCTACAGTGAAGACAGAGCCGGGAGGAGAGAGTTGGTTCTCCAGCAAAACTCACAACTTCAAAGATCCAGATGAACAGGTCGGTGAAAACAGATTTCAGTTACAGATGTTACCCAACCAATTTCCAAGGAAACATGAAATCAAAGTTTATCATCAGCAGACCAAAGGAAGTGATGACTGTAAATTGAGACCAGGACTAAGTAAGAGTGATGCCAGTAGTTCAAAACTGGCTGCTTGTTTGTCATCTCACCCACCAACAATATCGAGGCATTTGCCATCTCTGCAAAGTTTGATCGGCGATGCTAGTCAGGGATTAAGAATCTCAACAAGAACTCATTCTCTTCAGGTCTCCAGATCCCAATCAACGGAAGATGTTGAAGAATTGGAAGGCCATGCAACATTGCCAATATCTAGGACAGTAACATCTAAGCAAAATACTATTGGTGTGAATAGTGGAGGATCAGGAATCTTTCCAGGTGCACAGCCTCTTCTAGTCTCCAGAGGTTTGTTATCATCCAAAGATGTAGAAGAACTAGATGGCCATGTCATACCCTTGGTATCGAAGACAGTATCACCTCTGCAGAATATACCAGGTTCTGTTGATAGGTCTGTGATTCAAGGATCAAGAAATTGTTCAAGAACATGTCATATTCCTATAGCCAGTGATTTGTCATCAACTGAAAATGTTGAAGGATTAGATGACCCTGCAGCAGTGCGTCACGCTGACAGACAAGGAAACCTCACTATTCCTTCTAGAATGGTTCATACCAATACAGCAAGTGAGTGCCCCAAAGAGATGATTGCCTTAAAAATGGCACAGACAGAGAAATTACTACCGGGGAATCAGAACAGTGTGTCAATGGATTCATCTTCTGTAGATATGAAACAACTGTCGACCCATGCAGGCTCAAAGGGCAGGACTCAACATCGCCAGACATCTAAACCTAGCAAGAGAGAGAATATATGCAGCATTGGTAGCTCATCTAGGTGAGTTGGTAGACTCTATAGAGTAAAATAAAATTACACATGTAGTTGTCCCAAATCCTATTGCTTTCTTTAATAAGATTTCATTTTTAAATGAAAAGAGATGAATTGATGTGTTAAAAGTATTTATTGAAATAAATTGAATGTTTTTTCAATCTATTCTATCTTATTTTAAATGACTGAAGTAGATTATAATAGTATCCTCTTTACTATAAATTACGAAATTCAGTGGAGAGATGGCCAGAGCCAAATGTTCAAAAATAGAGTTAATTGGTTATGATATTTCACTCTTACTATAGTTTGATGAAAAAATTGAATAATCACTCTTTTCTTCAATGAAGGCTTTCTTAACAGAAGCACACAGTGATTTTTCATTTCAACATTTCAACATAATCTTTGAAATTCTCTCTTAATATAATACAACCTACGTGTGTCATTTTCTAAGAATGTAATTAAGATTAATCTTGTGTTTTTTTTCACCAGTGATGCGCCAACAGCAGTTAAAAAGAGAGTTGTACCTACATTCCACAGAAAAGCATCAGGTAATGAGGTATTGTTCTTCTTTAATGAGCACATCTAGTGGAATTTAAATGTGCTAATCTTATGACATCAAATATAACATAGAAAATGTTTGAATATGAAACTGTGAAGCATTAGTTTATTTTTTTAATACAAAATATCTTAAAATTCTGAAGTTTGTCTTAGATTTATTCATAGATGCTGACAATGCTTTCTGTGTTTATCATTTGTATACAATGTTTGCATAATAGGGCAAGATTTCATGCATCTTTGTAAACTCTTCTCCCCTTTAGGTTTGAAGGAGAAAACAAAGAATAAACCAGAAAAACTGTCACAGATGTCCATAGAACAGGTAGAAAAGTAAATTGTATACATATGTTTTGAAAAAAGTCATGATTGCAAGGGCAATACTTGCCATGTCAATGTAATTTAAGCTGGTGGTACATAGTTTTATTTAATTGATGATAAACTAAGTGAATAGGAAAACAGTTTTATTATCACTCGTTTATATCCTCCTGCAGTATTGTCCTTTTTCTTACAGAATTGATGGTCTTTTGTGACAAAATGTATACATGATCTATCTAGTTGCTTAAAGGGAACTTGTAAAGGCTTATTCACAAATATATGTTAGTTCAAACTTTTGCGGTTTCCCGCAGGGTCTTTAAAAAAATTATTATTCAAGTGTCATGAAATTTTTATACCTAAACACACAGATAAGTTGATACAGGTTGGACCTTCGTTGTGTCTGGCTCTTTTTTTTCCATTCCCACTAGTCCTTCATTTAGTAGACAAGAAATTGCTGCGCTCTATCGCAACATATGTGAACGGGTCTCATTTGATATCTTACTGGAGATCATATTTTCCCCACCAGGTAATGGGTACGACTCACAGAGTAAGTGGAGCTCTTGTCCAGGCTGCTAAGACTGTCACATCCATGTCACCTTCAGAGCTAGCAAAGTTACAGGAGATCATTTCTGAATCAAGCGAAATGCTCATGATGCTTACGTATACAGACGGTTCAACACAGCTCAGAGAACCGAATGAGGTGAGAAATATAAGAATAATACATTGTATTTCATGGACTACAGAACAGACTGGTGGACAATGACTAAAATTTAAGAATATTACTCTAATGAGTTCACGTATCTTCTTTTTTTTCCCTTCCCCATTGTTGTTTTACTACTACATGTACAAGTACTCCTACTACTACTACTACTACTACTACTACTCCCCCTATCTCTGTATCCCCCTCTCTCTTTCTTTCTCTCTCTCTCTCTCTCTCTCTCTCACTCTTTCTCCTCTTCTTTCTTTCTCTCTCCGCCTTTCTCCAAAAGCACTCTATGCAGTAATAAAAGTACTATAATCACATCGATTTAAGACAAATCAATCAACATTCTGTATTGAATGAAGATGTGAAATGAGAAACTTTTGTTTTCCTTTTTGTAAAATATTTCTTATTGTATGAGATAACACTACTTACAATTAAATAAGTATTATTTGCTTTACTCACCCGCATGTTTTCAGCCCAGGAAGAGAGCTTCTGCATCTCTTCATGAGGAGGGTGTAGCTAACTCTGTATTAGTTGCCATCCAGCGCAAGGCTGCTAAGAAGGAATACATGTTTGTTTCTTTTCCGCTGGCAGGGCTAGGCAAAGAAAATGCATCAGAAGCAACAAGGTAATTTTACCATAACCTAGCTAGTACACATCATACTTACGCTTCTTTCATTGTCCTAATTATACTGAAGTCATGGTTTACAACACTTAGCGAAGAATTTTGTATGCAACTGTTATCCGTATTACTTTTAGATCTGTGAATACTATTGTGATCTACATGTACATCTGAAAACAAAGAAAATGTTATTTAAAGTTAAATCCGTTTTACACCCAGAAAATGGACTTCAGAGCTGAGATGCATAGCAACTTTCATGCAAAATAATTTGCTCGCACAATTCCACGTCTATGCATGTAAGCTCCATATTTATAAGTCCTTAAGAACTTGCAAAGTTGCCGTTGTTTTTAAACACTCAGTGATTAATTAATTATCGCTATCCCTATTCAGAAATATAGTTGTGGCCGGCAATGTGATTGCGAAGAAACTAATATTTGTTTGGTTGGTAGGAATGTTCTACTTGAGATTCTGCAGTCCAGCACTAGAAAAGTTTGCTTTGATGCTCAGGAACTGATGCATGCCATCATCATCAACTACAGCCTGGATCCTCAGTCAGGTGTGGTATGATTGAATGGCAAAAAATATTTTGAATCTTATTATAGAGTTCTACCAGGGGGGTGTTTCACAAAGATCCTAAATTGAACTGATCTCTAAGTTAGACTTAACAATTATGGAAAGCCGTTAGCATCTTTGAAATATTTTGAAAAAGTTATTTTAAAAGGCATGAAATGTTGATTCAAATCATTCATATTTTATATTATCAAGGAGATTTCATGTTTAATGTGGAATCAATGAAAAGTCTAAAAATACTTGAATATTTGTTTTTTAATATGTTTTCTACTTTAAGGCTACAAATGGCTCTCCATAATGTTTAAGTCCAACTTAGAGTTAAATTTGACTTAGGATCTTTGTGAAACACCCCCAAGTAATAGAATTAGATTGTCAGAGGAGCTTGCTTAAATCAGATCCTTGTTTATCATGCATTAGATATGGGAACTGCCGCTTGGACTAGGATAGCTAGAGACAGAAGAGAATGGAAATACTTTTTCCAACGTCTGAATGAACTATAGCCTGATAGATAGATTTAAAAAAAAAACTTATTTAAGAACAAAAGCTTCCTGTAAATAGCTTTCACTAAAACCATGCAATCCATAGCTTAAATTTGTTTTAAATGCTTAATTGATTTGTAATGTTGGAAACATGAATAAATTTGAATCTTGAATCTTGAATTGCTTATCTATTATTCATTTTTTCTATTAAAATTGTTTGACAGATATCAGTTATTTGTTGAATTGATATTCAGCGTAAGTTTAGTCTGAAATTTAGGGGTATTATCAACCCTTTAACTTTGTAACTTCCATTCTCTACATTCTAGGATGCAACAAATGGGTGATAATGGACCCTAAGATTGCTTGCTGGCTCCTGGATCCAGATAACCCTCCGGTCACATTCTCTGGAATGCTGAAAACATTCGTAACTGGGAAGTACAATGATCAAGCTCCAAACAATCACTTGGTAAGCATCGATCATGAACCCAAACCCAACGACTGATGAATTCTTCCATTCCCATAGGCTTTAATACTGCCAAGGGAGCATCAATCCTGTTTAAACCATATTTTCACGTGCGTAAAACAACACATTTTTCTTTAGTGTATATATTTTGGTTTAATTTTGTTTACACTGTTCAATATCATTGTAATTCAACTATTATGAGTTCCTGAACTTTACGTGTTGATGTTTTTAAACTGAGTAAATAAAATCTACTTCCTGTATTAAAGCAGATAGTGAATTGCCATTAAGAAGTAGAAGATTTTGTTATGTCAGTAAGGCATTGGTTCCTGGAGAGGGGGGAAGGGGCAAATATCTGGCATTGCCCACCGTCTCCCCCACCCAAAATAAAAAATAAAATATTTTTTTTCTTCATATTTTGACAACTGTGGTATGTTTTCTCAATACTTATGAACATCATTGTGCCATACACTTGAACATTATCTCATAATGTCTTGATTTTTTTTCTTCACTCCCCTTGCAGACACATTTGGAATTACTTGGGCTGGTGATGGGAGACCTAACAAACAAACTCCAGAGGAAGAATTTATGGGAGCTCTTCATCAACTTGGAAGTCCCCCTCATACCAATACTGGCTGGTAATAATGATACAGATCTTACACCTTTTGTCTTGCTCGACCCCTCCCCCATGGCTTAATTTTCATTATTGACAGTACAGTCTGGTAGTTACATATTGAGACATTATCCCTGCCCCTCCCCCCTTTGGTTCAGAGTACCACACTCACTTTCCCCTTTACAAAGTTGTCATGATCTACCCGCTAATTTGTATTATGTAATCATATTTTGTTATGAGTACATATGTTTTCTACAAACACATACACCTAATTTCTCCCTCCCTTATAATTGTTTTTGTCATTTGCCGTCGTATTTTCATTCGTGTACATGCTGCTTAATTTTTTTTAAAAATCTGATATGCATTTTATCTGTCATTGTTTATTGTACTATTCTGAATAACAATTCATTAACTCTTTGCATACGGGAACCGAGTGGTCCCCCTTATATGTCTATGGAACTGAGATAATTCAGTAGTTAACGGGTTAATATAATTTTAGGTATGGAAGTCCAAGGAATACAAGTCAACCAGAAGATGCTCATATCCTACAGTAATATCTTGAAGGTATGCACTCTTTTTCATATCCGTAGTACTAGTAATACATACCAGTGTATAAGGTAAATGTTATGTGTGTTGTCATATACGATCAAGAAGTTTGAAGAATATGATAGTGTAATCTGACTTTCTACCAGCATTCCCATATGACTGATCTAGACAGAAGTTGACAGCTGCATGAATAAACAAACAGGTTGATTGCCTAAATAGACTTAGAGTGTAATATAAAATGATGCCAAATGAAGTATTTGCTCGACCAATGCACCAACAAGAAGAATATCTAACCTGGAGCCATTTGTATGACTGGTTAGGGCAAATCAAATTCATAAAGAAAATGAGACATGGAAAAGCAAATTTGAGTTTTATTGAAGTCTAAGCAAATATATGGTAAAAGGAATTATTTCAACACTTTTTGCACTTTTGGGGCAGCTTATAGAGCTTGAATGATATTTTAGCATCTTGCAAAACTGTTCAAATTAACAAAATTAACAAAAACAATCAGTGTTATCATCTTTGTAATTGAAATTTATTATATTGTCATTGTTGATATTACTTGTATGTATCATTGTCTGTTAATGTATGTTATCTTTTTAGGATGAGATTAAGGATGTCGAGAAACAATGCTACAAAGAGGCTGGACATCCTTTCCAGATCACCAGTCATATCCAGCTCAGACAGGTAATAATTCCTCGTCAGATAATATTATAGATTTGAAGTAACTGAATGATCCCAATAAATGACATAAAATGGCCAGAGGGAGAAATCCATAACTTTGTAATCACCCTCCAATACTATGTGATAGGCAAAGAAACTAAACATTTTTCACTTGCCTTTTGATAATCGTTGAGAAAGAAGGGACTATTCTTCTTCTTTTTTTTTGAGGGGGGGGGGGGGGTATGTAGGATGTGCCAATTGGGTTTGATGTGCCCTCCCAAACGTGCCAGTGTCTGCTAACTCTTCACAATATTTACATGTATGTTACTAAATCTATGACAGTATGTTGGAGTAAGATGTTAAACTATCTTGAAAATATCAGGGGCATTGACTTTAATTACACTGCTACTCATTATAATAGAATGGACAATGCAATCGTTGAAAAAAGTTGCCCAAACTCGTGTGTGCTATAAGGAACTGGTGAGTGAAGAACAAGTTTTTCAGAAGAAAAAAAAAAAAATATTGGAACCCACTTTTATTGATATTAATGAAAATTTCAAAAATTGTTTTTTTATTCAATGGACCGAGCACCAAAAATGTCATTGCCTCTGATAAATTCATGTATTGGCTTAATACAAGATTGCCTGTTACTGCAAGGAATTGAACAATCGACAATGAATAAATAAACAATAATAATAATAATAATAATAATAACATGTCTTGTTTACCCAGGGTAGCCTCATCAGTATTCATACTGTTCTTCCTGAGGGCTCTTCAATCATATTAACTGGCAATAATAACTATTTCCTAATCCTTATTGTGCAGGTTCTGTTTGTTGAGCTGAAGCTAGATGAGCAATGTCCTGGTCAGAAACTTGCAAGAACCAATGTCCAGAATCTCAAGTCGACCTCAGAAACGGTGGTAAATGGAAAACATTAAGTTAGACGTTTTAGCACTTGTCAATTGTGAGCTTTGTGCAAGTGTTACAACCATTCTTCAAATATAATGTTTGCATTATAGTAATACAGTGAAACCTGTCTTTAAAGATCACCCAAGGGAGACAAGAAAAGTGGTCTTTAATATAGGCAGATGGTCTTTATGTACATGTTTCAAGAGAAACAATTGTCATTTGAAATATTGTCTGTTGCAGGTGTTAACATTATTTTGGGAGATTATTTATCTGTCACGAGTATGAACTTCAGCTTCTGTAGCTTAGAGTCATCAACAATATCGCAACTATTTACTTTATTGCACATGTTGGTTTCTTAATCTTGTTGATTATGCCTAGTGAAATCAGGGAGTGTTTTTTAAGATTGACTTTAAGTTCGACTTAACTATGGCAGGCTGTTCATGCCACCGTTCATGCTCCACCATTTACTGGCATTTATCTCTCAAGGGACATACAAATCATGGTGACTGCACCTTTTGATAGTTCATTATTGAAGGAACAGAAACCATTATCTAAAGATCATAATTTAGAGACCAATGGTGAGAGCAATCAGTGGCATGAATGGCCTGCCATAGTTCAGTATAACTTAAAATCGATCTTAGTCTCTGTGAAACACTCCCCTGGTATGTTGTATTCAATACATATAAATGCTTTTATGTATCTTCTATCTAACAGTTACACAAGCTTATAGATCTGCATCCTTTGCCAGAGCTAGTCCTGACCCACAGACAGGTAAGGTACATGTACAATGAAAAGGATGATTCGATGGGTCAGTGACACAAAGACGTAACTCTATTTCGGTCATTTTGAGAAAAAGTAGTTTATATGTGTCACTGAGCAGTTGAGCCTTAAGGAGTTAAGTCTATGTTTCACTAGCCATTGACTTCATTGGGTGTTGGGTGGAGTTAAGCCTTTGTTTTTCCTGGAAAACCCACATTTTTCTGAACATTTTGATATAAAATACTCATTTTGGCAAAATATGGAGTTACGTCTTTGTGTCACTGAACCCACGGATTGCCGTATTTGAATGTACAAATAATTTCTATGTCTATGTCTGGGACTTATTTGGATATCAATGAAATAATCCATATCTCATGTTGATATTGGCCTGCATCATGAGCATTTAACAAGTTAGATTTCTTGCAGAGATACAGGGTTTTAAAGAATAAAGATGTCATGGTAACAAAGGGATCAGAAATTGCTTTGTATTTAACTTGCATTTAAAGTCACAAAAGGGTTGATATGCATGTGTGTACTGGTAACGAGTAATGAATACACTACTGTTTATTGAAAGGTATTCCTGTATGAATGTGAAATATAATGTTAACATGTCTTTGCCATCCTCCAGATATATCTAAACTTGTTAACTTTTATATTAGATGTTGATTGGTAAATGTATTTCATCATATGACTATAATCATCTGTACAAGAATCATCATCTGCCTTTCTTATACTTCATATCTATCTAGCTTGTGAAGCTGAAATCTACCTACTTAGATGGGCTGTCTGATTATGTATCTGGAGTAAGTGGAGACTTGTTCGTCTAACTATTTATTATACCGGTATACATAATGTTTATTAACGCACTTAGTTTCTTAAGGTGCACAATTGTACAGAATCATAATCCCAAGAAATTATTTGTAATGTGAATGAAAAGTAATTCATTTACATGATAATAACAAAATCTTGATTATATTTTACTGAATGTAAGCTTAAATGTATGAATGAAGAGCAGTTTCAAAGGGAGATGCATAGCTCTACATATAAGAAAAAATACATGAGAAAAGAAAAGAGAAATAGAGAAAGGGGGAGTGTGAGAGAGAGAGAGAGAGAGAGAGGGAGAGAGTATTGATCAAAAGAAGCAAAGTAGAGAAAAGGAGAGAAATGGAGAGACTCTTCATAAATTTTGTTGGTCTGGAATATTAAAGCTACTCTTGATAATCGTTTATTGATAGGGCTATATACACACCAGTTGGGACCAAACCTCAGCTGCCTCAGGTAGACTCCAGTCATCAAACCCAGTAAGTAAACCTTTCCTCTTATCTGTTCTAAGTTTGTGAGGTAAAGTTAAGATACTGAGAAGGAATTAATTAATAGGTTACTATCTACAGTAGATGGTAACCCGCTCACATTGAATTTTATTTACTTGTTTGTTTGTTCGTGTAATTGCCAACTTCTGATTTGGTCTGTCACAATGCATTGCACCTACAAACCTACTTAAGTAGTTTTACTTTGCACATTATATTGATGAAAAATGTCGGTAGTTCATTGTCATAGGTGTCTGTATATGGTTTGGTAGTTAAATTGTAATGCATAATCAATATGGATATTCACTCTCTCCCCCCCCCCCCCCTCTCTCTTCCCCCCTCTCTCTCTCTCTCTATCTATCTCTCTCTCTCCCCTCCCTCTTTCACCCTCTCTTGCCCCCCCCCCCCCCTCTCTCTCTCTCTCTCTCTCTCTCTCTCTCGTTCTCTGCATTGTTTTCATCTGTTTGCATCTGTTTTCTGTTCTAGAACATTCAAAACATTCCCAAGCAGCCTCTGCAACTACACAAAGATGCAAATGGGTCAGTGGTCAATGGTAAGTGGATTGTAACAACCGGTAAACCTTGTGTTGTGAATTTTTTTTTTTAAAGCCCCACTGCATTACTTATATCTATTTGCGCACTCTAATAGCAAACAATGCCTTATCGGTGACCATTGGTCCCCCATGATCCTATTTTTCGTATGTTAATTGAGGGCTTTGAATTAAAAAACATGTTAAGGATATTTGTCTTTGCTTGTAGACTGTCAAAGTGAAGAGGTATTTACCCTAGAAATATGAAAGATACCGGTAGTATTTCCTTGATAGAGGTAGATGAAAAGAGATGAAAGTACATATTTATATCAGCTGACTTGATCAGTTGCTATTCCTTTTCTAAATAAATTTATCCTAACTAGGTATGAATTGTTATGGAAACTATTCATCATTATATCATAAATAATTTAGTCAAACTTTGTAGTGAGGGGCCATTTTAATTTTTTGTTTTTTGTTCATGTTTCCATCTTTGATAGAGACCACTGCATCTTCTACCACTCCAGCCACTACGCTGTGGATGAGAGAACCATTCTACTCACACGACGGCTGGTCATTCTTTGCTGCTGGTAAAATATCTCCTTCCGTTTCTCTGCTCTTTGTTTCTGTATGATGTGCAATGTCCTTCCGTGTTAGTCACACTACTTCAGAACACTGCTAGAATATTCTGATAGGTTGGATTTTGACTAAATGTCCTGACAAATTTGTTGACAGAAAAGCAAAGTTTGCTATTAAAAGGAAAGTAAAGTTTGCCATTTTTTAATGTTTTTAACAATCTCGACTGGCAAATAATAAAAAATGAATAAATTTTACTGAGGGTCAAAGCAATCCTCCAACAATTTACTGACAAATGATTATATCCCAAATATTACTGGTTTTGTTCACAAAAGTGAAAAATGTCCTGATTCTATTAGGTATCACAGCTAACTTTTAAAGTTTCTAAATTTCACTTCCCCTGCCCATTTCCTTTTTGAGCACATGAAAAGAAGAATTTTAATACCTCATTTGTCAAATTTGAATAAGTACTTTTGAAAATACGGCCACTTACCTAAGAGACGAAATGGTCAAATTTTGCGTAATTAGGCTATAACTGACAATTAGCCATTTTCAAGGTGATATAATTGTGAAATTAATTGTTGAATCACCTTTCTTTTCAAGAAATCTGTTCTCTGTATGGATTTCTACATTTTTTTTCAGGTTCTCTTGACAAATGTTTTTTTTTGTGGAATTTTTCAAATAATTATATGAAGCCCATTTTGATGCATGTGACAAATGGCTATTTTTGCGTCGCCGGAACAAGTTTTCATGGGTTTTGAAACATGGCTAGATTTAAGAGTGTCTATCAAGAGGGGCTGAATTTCAGCATATCTGGGGTATATATATAGATTAATTATTTCTGTAAGTTTGGACCATCAAATCCATTTAAATTGATTTTAAATGGCATTTGAAAATGGCTCTAAACTCTTCAAGAAGTACAGGTAGACAAAGAAACATCCCTTCACTGCTATTGTGTAAAAATGTGTAGAACAGGTGTCACATGCATATTCACCTGTTCTACACATTTTTACATAATAGCAGTGAAGGGATGTTCCTTTGTCTACCTGAGGAACTGTATATTTTGTCAGCTTTCTTTGTCCGTCATGTTCATAGTGTCAGGGTACAGCTGTATTCAACGGATTTGCGCTCAAGCACCATCTCGCGGTCATTCTTAATATTTACATGATTGTATTCTCCAGTAAATTCTCTTTCTTCTCGTATCAAAATTGAATTAAAAGTATGTTTTTCTGATATAGAAAAATTGTTTCAAACTTTTCACTCTGATTTTTCACGATCATTTTGAAACATACTCCCATCATTGTTTATATGAAAATAAAGCTTAAGATGTGCTCTTTCCAACCAGTGGATTTTTAAAACTCAAAGACAAATGGCGTTCAAGCGCATTGAGCTAAAACTAGCGATGCAAATTGGCGATCAAATAAAAATGGTGACAAATGAAGTGACACGGTACAAATCAGAGGGTAAATCACAAGCAACTATGTCGTAAGTAATTGATGGATTTTGATGAAAATGACATGACATGAAAGACAGAATCCTGAGCTTTCGAGAGACATATAATTTTATAATATTTATTTTTTCCATGATATGAAAATCTTCCTTGATAAAGAGAGAATTTGCGTGGTTGAGCCCTGCGTGTCCCCACTCAACGCAGCTCTTCTGTGATACCTAATTCTATACTTGTGCATTGGTGTGCATAGCATATATACTTTCAACAATGACACCTGGAAGAATTTTAACTCATTCATCAATGTTTATCTTTTTACTTGCCTTTGATAATATTAATATTATTTCTGCTTATATCGCGTTTAATACTGCAAGTACGAGTTTCTAAGGGCTTTACAGTTATTACCCTCGGTCATGGGATTCTGGCTTGCCCGCGCACAATGTATGCACCTTCTCCACTCCCTGGGGAGCAATCTTATTTAATTTCTAAGCATACTACATTCAGATGGTGCTTGATGCTCCTTTTGTCTTCTCTAGATTTCCAGTCAATTGAGCTGAGGATCTTGGCCCACCTCTCTCAGGATGCTGTGCTCTTGAAGGTATTCAATGATGCTGGCAGTACAGACATCTTTGTTCAACTCACCTGTGAATGGTAAGCTTAACCCTTTGCCCACTAGCACGGGATAGGCCCTGCATCAAGCCTATACAGATGGGAGAATTCAGTATTCAATGGGGATGATTGATTGATTTTAACTGATACTCAATTTTCCTCAGTAACTATTCAACGAATTTGTACGAATGAGATGGTGCTTATCATGGTTTGCTTTTGAAGGACTGGAATAACTCTTAACGTTATTATACTGTCTTTAATTGCAGGCTTGGTTTGAATTTGGACGATGTGAAGACAGCAGACAGAGAAAGAACCAAACGAATAGTGTACTCCGTCATCTATGGTGTTGGTAAGAATATATTTTTACCCTTATCAAGTAGTTGAAATCTGGTAATCTTTCAAAGGTTTAATGTACTAGAAATATCATGGGTCGGGCCTGAGTAAATATGGAGGCCATACTTTTGTGTACCTATGAGAGAGGCTAAGGAATGAGACATGACGAGTTGCTTTGACGGTGTCCAAATAACAAGTGGAGAGTACTTTATTAGATACTTCTCGCTAGTACACAATTCTGTATGTTCACTTTAGATATTAACTGGATGTGTGTATCACTTACACATTACATAACACATATGGCAATGGTGGGAAAGTATACATCAAAGGAATGTTGCGCATCCAAGAAGGTTTCGCATATACAAGCAATGTATCACATTTTGGGTCAAATGAAGCGGGATGGAAATAAACAAGATTGGAATGTAAACACACAGACACAATTATCTCTATTATTGGGAATTTGTTCTTATTTTCATCACTTTTTGTAATATTTCCTTCTTTCAGGGGCTGAGCGCTTGGCGGAAACACTTAATGACACCAAGGAAAATGCTAAGGCATTCACCAAAAGTTTCTTGGGTAAGGTGAAAGGCATCTAGTTAAGTTCTAAGTTGCATTTTTTCATTTAGTTTTTATTACTCAACAAGACTTTGAATGTGATTAATTGTTTGTAGTTGTAAAATTTTGAAGAAAAAATATTGTCCCTTTGTTGACAAATCTTATAGATTCTTCTTCACGTTTTGGAAATTTTAAATACCAGTATGCATTTGAAAAACAGGTATTTAACAAAATTACATATTGTGAAACATACATGACATCAAACTTAAGATTTTGGAGAATAATTTTGCTTGTTCTATTTGTTTTCTTGGTTATCATTGTTATCATCCTGACTAGCTCTTTTACAGAGGTTTGCCAATTTGATTTATGTCAGTTATTTTACAGAAAATTGATAAAATTTGAGTGGATTTAAGACTTTTCCTGCCTTTGTTTTTAATAATCCACAGTGAAGTTCAAGGGAGTGAATACCTTTGCCCAACGCTGTATCTCAGAGTGCCAGAGACACGGTCATGTGAAGACCATCTTCCATCGTCATCGACTCATCTCAAACATCAGCTCACAGAACTTCCATGTCAGGTCTCATGCAGAAAGACAAGCTGTCAACTTTGTCATCCAGGGTTAGTGTAAAACCTTTTCCCATATGAAACGATAAGCCACTTAAAGTGGAGGTGTTATTGTGGTTTAGTGGTTCATTGACTTCATTCTCAATCTAAAGATTGGGGGTTTGAATCCCAGTCTGGTACTAACTTCCTTTAGAAAAGCATAAATCCACATTTGCCACTCTCCACCCTGGTGCTAAATGCATTCCTGGTAGGATGCGAAAGCCGTCATTGTAGTTTGCTCAGCACCTGCTTGGAATGTTCCCCAGGGAGTGGAGAATGTGCATGCAGGAAAGCCTGAATCTGATGACAAGGGTAATTATATCCTGTAAAGCACTTGGACACATCGTTGATGTATTAACCCATAACCCAGAATATTTTTAATAGTAAAAAAAAAAATGCAGCAGCAGTATAATTATATTAGCATAATACTCCATGCACTGCATTTAAGCAGGTTACCAAGACCCTTCCCCCCCCCCCCCCCCCCCCCCCCCCGCCAGTCGACATCCCATTGCACATAATGCTATGCTAGTTTACCGCATCATATAGTGTATAAGCCTTAACCCTAAGTGTAGAGGTACAGTGCTAGTGGATAAGTTCAAATCGATCGAAAGGTGCAGGGTTCAAATTAAGACATTAATCTACATACAGCTCTCTTGACCCAGGTGAATTAATGAAGAGCTGATGGACAGTTTTCAAAACTGTTAAGAAAATTTCAGTGATATTTCCACATCTACTGAAGATGACTAGGGCCCTGTTTTATAAAACCTGTTATTGATAACAAGTTACAATAAGTTTAATAAGCTACTGAGAACATGACATTAGATTTGATGGGAGCCAATTTGTCATAGAAATTTAGCATTTGTTATTGATGAAAAGTTTTATGAAACCGGGCCAAGATCATTTGTTTATTATCAATTTTTTGCTACCACCCATTTCATTGTTTTGACATAGAATTCCATGCATAAAATCTAATTTTATGTATTGCTAATCTTTGATCCTGTGAGAATTTGTTGGTCTGTGTTACCAGACCTCATGATTACCTTTGATTGTACTGATAATACAAATATTTGTATCTATCATATATGCTAACACTACATTATATTTTATTTTAAAGATTGTTATAATGTACAGTGAAACCTGTCTATGAAGACCACCCAAGGAAGACAAATAAAGTGTTTTTTGTTGACAGGTGCCTATAGTATAGTACATGTTTCAATGAGAAATTATTTTCAAGGGAAACCCCAAAAATGGTCTGTGTAGACAGGTGGTCTTTGTAGACAGGTGGTCACTAAAGCAGGTTCGACTGTATACTATTCTCTTTTGGCAATGTCATTCTGTATATATCTGATTCTTTTTGGAATTCTTACAGGCTCAGCTGCTGATATCTGTAAGCTTGCTATGATCCACATCATGAAAGTGTTGTCAGAGAAGAACACTGTTAGAGCCAGGTATATGATTTTTATTTTCCCACTGGTGTTATAGATATCAAAATAATAAACAATCATTATCATCATCATCAATATCCTTATATTTTACATTTGACTTTCACTTATTTTTCCATTTTGCATAATAAATTTGTTCATCTATTTCATATTTGTTTTGGGCTGTCATATTTTCAAGCACTTTGCTTACAATGGCAGTCCTTCTTTCGCTGATAATAATAGGACTATATATATATATATATATAAAGTTTGATGAAATATGATAATAATTTGTATATATATTTGCTTGTTTATAATTTGTTGTCAGAAAGTACTTTTTAGTATTTTATGTTTGTAATGTTACAGAATTTTTTTTATATTTATATGGAATACAAAAGAAAAAAAATCAAGCCAAATAATGGGCAGAATAGTCAGGAGTTCCAATATCTCTTTCTGGGATGGTATACTATGTGCCTGAAACCAGTACTTCACAGTTTTCTATCACATAAATGTATTTATTATTGATTTTATTTCTCATAACAATTTTTCATATTTTAATTAACAGATTACTTGTGCAGATCCATGATGAACTCCTGTTTGAAGTCCATGATGAAGATATCAATGAAGTCAAAGGTATATTTTGATTTTAGTGACACGTTTATCTTTTTTACATGGCTCAAATATATTCATAAGCAATTTCATTTGTCATTCATGCTACACATTCTACAAAAGTGGAATTTTTGAAGTTTTTTTTTTAAACATATGTTTCTATAGGAATGAATTATTGAAAAAGAAGCATTGGACAGCATGCTTCTAATAAAGTATTAATACCTTCACCATGCATGTACCATGACATCAATCATACCTGAATAAAAGAAAATCTCCTAGTTCATATTTCTTTCTTTTTTAAATTTGATTTGAATTTACTGATTTTCTATATCTTTTTTTCAAAATGTAAATATTCATGCTTATTTAAGTGACACCAATACATTGTTTCCCTTCAATACAATACATGTAGTAAAGGTAAGAAATTTAGTTACACCTTAATGCATATCAATAGATATTAGATATGAAGCATGAAGCTTGATGCACTTATACGTTATAGCCCTCAGCTTAACTGAAAAAAACATATAAATGGAAGAGAGTCGTGACACAGAGTTTCTCAGAAAATATGAACTTAAATATCATCTCTTTGACAGGCATTTTGAAGACTGTCATGGAGTCTACTCCAACATTGGGGGAATCCATTTGTCAGCTAAAGGTAAAGACTTATGTGTATAAAGTTTAATATTCAATGTATGTGCTGCATTGGATATATTTTCCTGGCAGATGGAATTCTGTAAGAATATTCCTCATATAAGGGCAGTCTCTGCTTACCAAATCAAGTAACATGATTACTATACAAGTTGTTTGTGACTGAGTTTTTGATGATTGATGAGTAGAGGCAGGTTGGTAATAAAAAAATTCATGATGTGTGAGATTTTCACGATCATGATATCCTTGTCTTTGTCCAGCTGATTTTCTTGCATTATTACTACTTTTCCATAAGATATTACTATATTGTTTCTCGTATTTAAGATGTTACTGTTAAGACCAAACAAATACAGCCATTGAAATTGGTTATTGCATGAAAGAGCAATATTTACACAAAGTTAGAAATCATACTTTGATTTAAAATAAAAAAAGAATTAATTCTTTATCTTGTTTGACTTGTCATTGATTTTGCAGGTCCCTCTTCCAGTTTCTCTCAGTTACGGGAAGACATGGGGTCATCTCAAACAAATGGTGTGATCTGAATCAGATTCTTGCTTGCTAACATCTCCTCAGAAGCTGTCTAGGAATAATATTATATGTCTTCCAATGATTGTTAAAATGCTATTGGTTACATATATGTGACAAATTCTAATCCTATTTAAAATAAACAGTACCATAGATACACAACAAAATATCAGGTGAAAAATACCACTCAAAATTAAACAGTGTTGGTAACTTTTGGTATTTATTCTCCAAAGTGCATTGCAAAGCACAATCTGCAAAGAAATACAAGCGAGGTTTAATTCTTTTTGACATTAAGCAAAAGCATTCATGGGGCTGTAACTTTCCAATATGGATTTAAAGCAATTTCTTTATACAAATCTGTACCACCTCGTCTTTTATTCTAAAATATTTTTTTTGTAAACCAAAAAGAGAACAGTTTTAAAGTTACTGGAAACTGCTGTACATACTTCATGAAACTGTTTCCCTGATTTTACTTTTAAAAACTTACAAAATACAAAAGAGAGTAGTTTTAAAGTCACTGGAAACTGCTCTGCATATATGAATCATCACACCCATAATCTATGCTTCATTGAGTTTACTTTCCAATGGTCATAATTTCTTTGCTGTCAACTTTACAACCAAGTTCTTGACTTAATGTTTACGAAAATTGACATCTAATAGTACAACTGTAGTATATATATCACAACGGATGTTATAGACTCTTTGTATTATGGAATAATATAGCTAACCCAAAAATATATACTACAGTATATCAGTAGAACTTAAATGTTATCTAAATTCATTGTTGAAAATTTGGCAGTATTTTTTTGTTGAAAGACGAGTTATTTTGTTGTTTTTGTTGAAATACCATTGAATGTAATGGTCGCCTGTAATTTCATATCTTACATTATTTCATTATGATAGAGAGAGTAAAGTTTCATGAGGAAATATATACTGGAGAGTGGAGAATGACTTGAAGTTTGGGTATATTAGAAAAAAATGAATGTGCAATTTATTTCATTTCATGCTTTTCAAGGCATTGAATGGAAATGTTTAATAAAAATCTGGATTGTGCATGAGAATGATGATTTTACATCCTCTTTATCTTTCTTCTATTCCGTGGATGGTCAAAACATTGTTTTTATTATCATACTGTTAACTCAAATAAATTGGAACAATGTATGTTTATAAGTATTATAATTTAGTATTATTGTAAGGTATATTGTTAAAAGAGGTATTTTACATTTGAATTTGAGTTTGAAATTAATTCATCTTGATGGACTTTGATCTATTTCTCCAGCTATCTGCTATCCATTCTTGTACTTTTTCTTCTTTGTTTGGTGCTATAATGGCATTTAGTCAACTTTGACTATTTTGTTGACCATAACCACTGTTATGCAATGGTATTATCAAATAAAAAATGGAAAAAAAAAATGTTTTTATTATTGGAATAATAAATGTTTATAAATATTTAATTTAGTAATATCAGTTACTAGTATATGAAGAACTGAGTCCTTAAGGTATATTGCAAAAACATATATATTACATTTTTATTTTAAGGAAAAGACAAGGATAGATTCACCTATTTGTACTTGGTCAATACCTTCCAGATCTAACTTCAAAGGTGGGGGGGGGGGGGGGGGGGGGGGGTGGTGTCCCAGCTTCCGGGTCTTGCACCGGCCATGGTCATTTCACTTCTGTCTCCTGCTTGCTGGGTCATATCAGGATTGTCAACTGGGAGAAGGGTGAATTATATTGCTCCGGCCTTCTTCCAGTGTTTATCAAGTCTGGCTTTGAAGCTATATTTACCAAGGTTGCAGATTGTCTGTTTAGAATACTTTGCTTTGCCATTGAATTGATGATATGCTGTAAATTTATAAATGTAAATGATCATCCTACTTTCAATAAAATCATTGTGTTTAGTATCTCTTAAATTGCATTCATCATATGATGCACTTTGTATTGATGTTCTTAGCTCAGATTTAATGCAACATCAAAGTCCACTGAAGTTTTTGAAAAATGTAATGTAATTTTTTATTTATACATGGCACAATTAAAAATCGAATCAATAATGAAAAAAAAAGCAAAAATATTAAGAAACAACATTCTGGAGTGTCTCTCACTTCCTCTTGCTTCTTCCAAAAAATGAACAAATGAATAAAAATGAAAACTACAAATATACAAAAAAGGATATTGGGGTTATATTCCTTCAATGATACAGCAAACAAAAAATAGAACTTTAAAGGTAATCTATGTGGCCTACGCCTTTGATTTAATTCAAACTTCTCCCCCATCCCCCCAAATTTAAAAGATAGTTGTATTCGATACAAAATTCAAAAAAACTTTTGTGTTAATTGGATAAACTTTTCCAACACAAACTTTGATTTGTATGATTATTACTAGTTGGACAGCAATCTATTCTATTCATTAAAAAAAATTGAGCAAAGAATTGTTATTAAATGTAGTATTTTTTTCATAATTATAACGGATCGCTTTGGCGTTTTTATTGACTCAAAAGAACAATTTAGAGAAATATTAACTTTTTGCAAAAATGCCGTGACCAGGATTCGAACCTGGGTTATTGCGGCCACAACGCAATGTCCTAACCACTAGACGATCACGGCTTCTATGCCACGTAGGGAACTTTATAACTATATATACTGTTGTTATTGCCGATTTACTAGGTCTAAATATTTTTTTATAAATGATTAGAAAATAAATGCAAATCCATAAAAGTAATGATTTAAATTTTATTTACATCAATAAAGATTTTAAAATTATATTAATTCATATACATTTTAAATTATATATAAAAATTCCTAATCAAAGTATTTAAATACGAAATAACGCAACATGCATGACATGAACACAGAGCATGCATATGACGTCATCATACCAAAGCAAAGCAAAGACGATAGGCCTTATCGCAAATAGCCTCACGCAAGGGACGATGGGATTGAAAAGGGAGCAAGAGCGCCGCAAACGTCTGATCGCGACGATGCGAAACGCTAGCAGCCGACGCACTCTGTGTATAGTACACACGTACGTACTATACTACGTACATCGAACGTTTGCTTATTCTACTTTCAGCTACTATACCGATCAAACATCTCGTGATATTTTGTCTTGCAAACTCACCGATTACATTGATTCTACATGATGGGTGGTGGAGACAGATGTGCTGTCTATGGATGCAAAAATAACCGAAGATATCCAGAAAGATAAGAATGATTTTGATGTTTTACTTTCGAGTTTTGTGATGACAAAGTGGGAGGCACTGCATGCCTCTAAATCTAGTCGAAACAGTGTTACGAGCGAGTGGCGAAGGGAATCGTGTCGAGACAGCTACGGCGTTGTTGCCAACAACAGGCGCTAAAGCTGACCTTGTCATTCTTAATGCTTTTCATCTACCTGGTAACCTGGTTTAATTTATTTGATTGCCCCTGTGATTTTCCTTTTTTGAAAGAAAATTGCCTTATCAATACATTGAAATTAATCAACAACATTTTTGTCTGGAATTCGGAATACCGGGGAAGTTTTCTGCAAAAATTAGTTGAACGAAATGAGAAAATAAGTTCAATTGACAATTTTAAATCGTATACATGATGATTGAGATGATTGTTGATCTAATTTGTGTCTTCTTTTTCTTCTCCCCACAGATATGTTGTGAAGAACTATGTTAACAACTAAGGTTTCACAAGTGCACATATCCTCGGAACTATACGCCCAGTGGACCAGGCGTTTTTTTTCTCAATCCTATAATATTTTTTTCATAGCGAAGACATCCAAATACATGCAATTGAACCTAATTTTTTTGTGTGTCTTTTTATTTAGACTTGAGATTTGCAGACATGGAAAAAGATAAGAGAATAAGTCATTTACACAAGGGCGAATGTCTGAAGAATGCGAAAGAAGAGCTGGCAAAATATAAAAAGAATAAAAGAAACAAATGCTACATTACAAGCAGTATATGTATGAGATAGAGGATAAAAATGTGAAAGAGAATGTGATTAAATATTCGGAGATAAAAAGTTGTGTAAACGATGATCATTAAGATACCCAGCTAGCAATGTTGTAGCCAAAGTGAATGAGGGGGGTGGGTGAGCTGTGGCATTCCCATAAGTTTTTGGCAATATATCTCTTCCTCCTCACTACTTTTCTCAACAAGTACATCTCTTCACTCCTCTTCTCAACACGTACATCTCGATATCTTCACTCCTCTATACTTTTCTCAAAAAGTACCTCTTTTCCTCCTCTCTTCTATACTTTTCTCAACAATAACGTCTCTTCACTCCTCTATAGTAGCTCAACACTTACATCTCTTCCCTCTTTATATTCATTACTATACAAGCAGTATATCTGAATCAATTTTTTTTTTAAATCGTCGCTCATTGTGATGGCTTCATTAAATGTTGGAGTCGCTATTAACCCTTACAAAAAAGTACAATTGAGTAATCAAGATATTTTCTCTCATTTTATCTCTTCCATAAATTACAAAACTGTCCATACACAGTAGAAATGAATAGATACAAGCCCATGAAAGATAGTTGTCTTATATTGAACATTTACTTTATTTCTCATATGTATACATTATAAAAAGCAATCAGTATCATGTAAAAAAAAATTACAGATCATAAAAACTAAGGACATGTATTTGCTTCATACGAGATAACAAACTTCCAATTCATTTTCGGAAATGGAGATTTAAATTATGAATATTGTTGATTTCTGGGACTACCCATCTTCCATCATCAAGTATCAACTTTTCCTGCTGACACTTTAAAATCTCAGTGCTCAGCTTTATCATCAATCAAGCTTTTCTGTCCAAATGGCTTTTTCAGCAAGTTCAGCGTGCTTTTCACCATTGACTGGTACGCGCCTATCCCTCAAAAACTTCTCGAGTTCAGTGGCTGAAAACTGTAAAAACCTACAAGCTCCGTCTGCCATAATTGCAGTGAAGTACCACAAAACAAAGATTAGTTCTTTAACTCTGGGTACAAGTATCAAATTTTTTACAAACTGCGGCTGAAAGAGCATTAAATTTGATTAAAAATAGCTTCGACTTCGAGTAGTACTATACAAAACGTGTGACGTTGTATGGCTTCCCGAAAGCCGAGATCGTGTTTGCTCCCTTTTCTATCCCAGAGGCCTTTGCGCGAAGGGCGCCACCCAGCGACAAAGGCTATTTGCGATAAGGCCTATTGTCAGTCAGTCTGCTTTTGTCTTAAATTTGCACGTAAGTACGTAAAATAACACGTTTTTGTGAATAAGTTAGGTTTTGACTTCATTATTTGGATGTTCTTGCATTGCAGAAATTTCATTTGAATGATTAGTGAATGTAGAAAGAAAAAAAAAATCGGAATTTATGTTTGCTAGAATTTTTGGCCCAAGTCCCATTCCTTTCTTTTCGTGTACTGTAAGCTAGATTTAGTTGGATTATCTTCTGAAATTTTCTCCCTCCCTCCACATCCCGTGCCATGCGAAATATGGCTTGTAGTTTGTATCCGATGTGTTTGTTAGTTGCAGGAGGGTGAACATTGAATAATATAGACCCTTCTTGTAATAATAACATGTTCCTTATCTCTCTCTGTTGACTGTTGTCATGGTTGTTGTCCCTCCGCTTTTCGGAGATCAGCGAGTTTATCGCAATCGAAGTAGTAGGCAGCTGTCTCTTTCGTTCAAATCAGAGGCTAACGAATGAATAGGGTTGGCTCTCTAAAGACAGAGCCGACCCTTCCCAAATCAGAAGCTAACGAACGAAAGAGACAGAAAAATTCAGTCTACATGATGATGAGCTGAGCTATCGTCATCAACTCGGGTTTCGTGTGATTTACATTACACAAACGCTTGCCTCGGCTCTCGCTAACTCTCCAGAGCCTGCATAGGAAAATGATTCAACAGCAGGTTGGGTCACATTTTTTCGAAATGTAAAGTAAAGAAGTAGTAGAATCTAGACCTAGACTAATTACAATTTTGACTTGCAATGGGCATCTGTTCAACAGTAGGGCGCTGGTCCGAGAATATGGAATGTTAGCCAAAATTAGGATTATCTTCATAAATGCGGACAGACACGTGCGCAAAAAATAAGGATCGTCCACATTTTCGCTGTCGATTTTGATTTCCGATCCGCGCGTTGGCGATGCCAACGACTGATTCCGGGATGATTTGCTTGATGCATTTTACATGGACTTTGTACAGAGACTTACACCGTTATGAGCGATAAATCTTCGGGAAGACGGACAACCCATAAAAGTAGACGGTTAACTGGGGGTAATTTATTACCCCGAAATTGCATCGCCAGCATGCGGATCGGGAACCCCAAAACCTGCAGAGCACCGAAGCAAAAAAAATGTCCCCAAAAATGCGGATGATTCTTACTTCTTAGGATGCATTTTGTCTGCGTAAACAAGGATATCCTCGTTTAAACGGACGATCCTCATTCTGGGACCAACGCCCCTCCTATTCAACAAGTTAAAATTATAATTTGAAGAAGTCTTTGATGGGACAAAAAATGATTCCTCGTACAATTTCAGAGATTTTCATGTTTAATTTTCAGTGAATATTCACTTTATTGTCATTCAATGGGTTACAGAAGGAATGACCAGTCTTTGGATATGGAAATGCAATTTAGTACCTAATCAGAACTTGAAGGATAGTGAGAGTTGGTAGTTAGTAAATGATAATGTCTGTAGAATACCATTATCATCAAAAAGTATTTTGAGAATACCTGCATATTTTTTACAAGAGCTCTGTCCTGATTTGTCAACATTGCATCTTTAAACAATTTTGTTGCAATAATCCATTCTATTGATTAACTTAAATCGTATTGGGCACCTACAGTGTAACTTTTCATTTATATGTTTGTTAATTGTTATGTTTTTTCAAATATATTAGAATATTGGAATTGAAAGAAAACAATTAATTTGAAACAAATTTGACACTTGAAACTAGTGCTGTAGCTCGGAACCCAAAACCCGGACCTGGCCCGACCCGGCAATTTTCCAAATTTCCTAACGGGACTCCGAAAGGTCCGGTAACCCGGTGAGAGTTTGACTGAAATAATATTGACTAGATTCTATTTGAAAGCTACTACAAACACATCTTGTGTGACCTACCGACCTTGTCCTGAATAGAGGGCACATCGCTTCATTTTGTTTATCATGCTGTCTGCGAGTCCAGACATATAAGTCCCAGGTCAGCATAAATTATCACCCTTAATCCATTCCCTAAAAAGATGAAGCATAAGGCTAGCTACATGTATGTAGGCAACCTAAAAATAGCTCATTTCCCTGTCAGAGTGCCCATACAACATGCTCTACTATGATTGGTCTGTTTGTCTGCCAATTAAAAACAATGATCACATGTAAGGCACATGCTATAGCTTACCCAATATTTGCATATTTTTTGGAATGTGCGCTATAGCTGGACAAAGGCTGCTTGTTGATCTTTTGAACCCTGTTCAAAGAAACCGCGTGTAATATTACACTCAGCTGGGCCCAAGCTGTCTGGCATGCATTAAACTTTGATAGGGAATGTTTTTGTATTCTAAATTTCTGCGACATGAATGTGAAAGAGATATATCAGATGTGAATGAATTTTTTGGGGGATCGAGAGACACAATGTAAGAAACTTAAGAAAGAAAAGAAAACATGAGAAAAACTACATTACGTAAATAATTCTGTACTTTTATTTTTTTAAGAAAGAAGATCAAATTGATTTGAGGGGGGGGGGGAAGGGTTTAAAACACATTCGGAAGATGAATAAATAGAATAGGCCTGTTTACTAATGTATTCACGGACCTTTAAATTTGCACACGGTTGTAAGCTCTGGCAAACAAACCGAGCGCAGTGTCTGCTACGGCCCTGCTACACACACTTTGTATACGGCGATGTGGGGAATGCGAGGAAAAAAAGGCTGATCATCGTCCTAATAAACTTCGTTTAAAACTGTTTGTTTTCCAACCTTAGGATATATAATTAAAATAAATATAGTTTTTCTCAGTTGTACATGACAAATCTTCGATTTTATTTTCCGAAATCCGACGAAATATCGCAAAAATGGGAGGTAAGCATTGCTGTTACGGCACGTGTAACAGCGATTCACGGTACGCAGACAGACCCCATATGAATGGTGTGTTTTTCATCCCGTTCCCCAAACCAAAGACGAACCTGGAGAAGTGTAAAATATGGATTAAGAATTGTGGAAGAAAGGACTTTGGAATCGACAGGATTTCAAGGAATACCTACGTCTGTTCAAAACATTTTGTAGGTGAAAAGGGTTCAACAAACGATTATCCACATCCTGTACCCGCTGCTGCAAGCGACTTGGAGAGAAGGATTGCGACTAAGGTCGTCCGCCCGCCACCCCGGGACCGTTCGGCCAGTTTACCGCCATGCAAAAAGCAAAAACAAAACGACGTCGAATGCAACGACCAAGAATTAGACCCTCATCAGGATCCTGTTGAATATGCTTTTACAGATCAAGGTATAAGTTGATGTCATAATTATAATTTTTTTAGCGTGAAATCCGAGCATGGAATGTGTGAAGAAATTATGATAGTAAATCATTGTTGCAGCCCCACATCGCTAGCAATGGCTTTGTATGTGTATAGCGTAGCGGGCATGGAAAAAACAATGTGGCGACCGTGCCGCACCACGCAAAGCTTGCCCTACGTAGTAACAATCGCTAGGGTGCGAGGGATTATGACGTCACTCGCATATCATTAGTAAACAGGCCTATTGAAAAAAGATGGAAGGAAGAATGATGATGAAGATAACTTCTTTTTCCTTCTCATCTCTAAAGACTATCAACATTTCACACACTTATCATTATTTTTCTTCATTTATTCTTCTAATCTGGGCTTAAACTTTTTGTTCAATTTTGGTTACGAATGAAGGCAGAGAGAGAGACAGGGGAAGAAGAGGGAGGATAGACCCCAATAATTTTTCTTCGGAGAACAAATTAGCTTAGGTACATGAATTGTTTGCTAATTAAATCCGCTTGTCAGGAAGTATTTTGGTGATGAAATTACTCTTTTATTTAACTCTCTGCCAACTTCATTTCAGCTCAGCCTCCATCTCAAGCATAACAAATTTTCACATACACACTCTCATACACATTATGTCAATTTGCCACTCACTATATCGTCTATCAGCTAGGTCAACAAACTTCATAATTTATGAATCGTCTGTTCTACAGTCCCAGCAGTCACTGAATTTTAATTTATGCTGGTTTCACTCTCCGCCCACTCAGGGGAAACTTTCTGATTGGTCAGTACAGTGAGCTGATCAGTCACATCACTTGCAGACAGGGCCAGGGAGATCAATATACACACTTGAACACACAACACAAAATCTATGCGTGCAGTGTCTATTGCAAAGACAGGTCAACAGATGTAAAAGATCGAGCCGTCATGCTGTGTTTGTTTACAGTTACTTTTGACGGTTTTATCATGATGAAAGATAAGTAGATAACGAACAATGAGCTATTTAAAAACTCTTTTTTACTGTCAGGTTTTGTTACCGAGTTGATCCAATTCTGGCTACAGTTCGGCCCGGAATGGTCCGGCCCGAAATGCTCAACCCGGCGGGTTGGAACCCGGTAAGCCTTCCGGGCTACAGCACTACTTGAAACTTGATACATAATAATATCCTACACCAATCCATGTCTTCAAAATTTTACAGATCGATCTTCTTCCTGAAGTCTGATTTACTGCAGTCCAGGAGACCAGAGGCATGTCTTCTTACCAAGGGACAACGCTGCCCTCTGTGGCAGCCCTGTCCCAGAAGACAGAGGCCCCGGAGAGCCAAGGGAGCAGACGAGAGGACTGGAGGAAGGCCAAGGAGTTGGAAGAGGCTCGTAAAGCAGGTACTGCTCCTGCCTTGGTGGATGAAGAAGGAAAGTGAGTGCAGATAGAACTGTCTTTTACTAACCAAAATTATACAGTAGGCTTGCATACCTGCCAACCACCCCGATTTAGGCGGAGTTCCTCCGCATTTTTCATACCAACTCCGAATTCCGAGTGCATGCCTCAAAACTCTGATTTTTTTTAATTTTAAAATATTTTTAAAACAAACGACTGTTGCATAAGACTATAGCATAACACAGCACTAGGCCGTCGTCTCTTTCCAAAATTATTTATTTATTGAATTTTCTCTAAAAAAAGTTATAGGGTCTAAAAAGAAAAAAGAGGAAGGAAAGAGGATGGAAAGAGAAAGAATCCTAAAAATAGTCATTTATGACATGAAATTGTACATATGTATATATATAAATAATTCAATAAATAGTGTGTGGCAAAAATAGTCAACTGTGACTGATTGCCAAACAAAAACAAATCAAGAAGAAGAAGACTGATAACCAAATCACGCCGACATCCGCGCTCATAGAAGATATTGCATAGTAACTGCATGCGTATAGCCCACGTGTATTTATATTACATGTGCAGTTGATACACCGGCCGTGCATAAACACTGTATACATTGGCGTGTTTTCTTCAATGCTTGTGCGATGACTGCGATCGTGGAAGCTTGTTATTTACCGGACTTCCTCGGATTTATTTTGGATTACTTCTACTATATTCTTCTTCTTCGTTGATTTCTCCATTTTTGAAGGACAAAATGGGTAAGACTCGTGCTGTTCATAATCAGAAGTATAAGAAAGAATACGGGAAACAATTTCCAGTTGCAGAATCAGCACTCGGACTTCAACACGCATTTTGCATTGTGTGTTCGGCCGACTTCAGTATCAACCATGGGGGAATGAATGACATTCAGAAACACATGAACTTGAAGAAACATAAAGCTTTCAGCGAAATTAAGGACAAGGCTCGTCCAATTTCAACCTTGTACATCAGCTGGATTGGTTGGTTCCAGTAGCCAGTAATTCTGAATCTTTCTACCTTTGCAAAATAGGGCTCCTAACTGAGGTGGGTAGTGAAACATGTAGTTTTGTGAGTGTTCACATTTTGATATTTCAAAATTGTTTATGTGTGGGGCGAAAAGGTTGAAGGAAAAGGCCCATTTGCACCATTAAAATGGAGAGAGAAAAAAATAGACCCTAAAGTCCTGTGTACCCCCCCCCCCCCCCCCCCCCCCCCCCAAATCTACGGGCTACTACCCCAATCCTTCGGTGGTTCGCGACCTCGTAGTCCATCCAGAAAAATTTACTCCTAATTTCTCTTGTCTCAGGTTGGCAGGTATGGGTTTACGTTTGCACCATGTGAGAGAGGGGGAGGATTGGGAAGTCCTGTGAAGGACTGTTGGTAATCTTTCTTGAGCTTATAGTTCTAAAGAGAACTATAGCGCCGGTTAGAGAGGATGGGTAGTAGGGGTGGCTCAACGTTTCGAACAGGTTGACTATCCGTCGTATAAATGTAAACTGTCTCATGTGAAACTTCCAGAGGATGAACGCATGGCCATTGACCCGTCTGAGTCGCTCCCTGCAGGATTCGACCTACCATGGATCACATGGCACAGTCTTAAAGATGTTCATGCATGGGTATATAGTCGTTCATGAAGTAGGCAACTTGACAATCACTACATAACACTGTGCATACGTCCGTGTGCTGCCCTCTATATACCCACGCATGAGCAACTTTCATGTGCTACGTACAGGTATGGGGAGACGCAACGCAAATATGCCCAAGTGGGGATGCATTAACACTACTTCAGCAAACTGTGAGTGTGGTCAGGTCTCCCAGGCCATGGACCATCTACTGGGCTATGACATGCTTACTTACACATGCACTGAGAGGGAGGGATCAGGCAGAGGCCAATTGAATGATGTAGCTTTTACTTTTGCAATGTATTGAAAAGTAGTTGTGTGATGATTAAAATGATGGTGATTATACCTTGGAAATATACCTTGGAAGTAGACATTTAAAGTTAAAAACTTATTTGCCTCTCTTTGACATTAGGATAAAGAATCCATATTGGGACACATGTTTAGTGGCGCTGTACAGCAGTTGATGAACATAGACAAACGAAGGACTCTTTTGGGTCAAATTGACCTTTTCTTAACAACCAAAATTTTGACAAATTGGATTTAATGCTAATTAAGTGACGTGCTCTCCACAATTACAGAGGAGAGATTGTTCTATTCATTGATACATCTCTCTGAGAAAAGGAGCCATGTCTTAGCTTTAAGTAGACTTTCTTCTTTGTATCAACACATGATGATGTGAAAGATTACTATTCCAGACAATACTTCTGGATAATAAAAGACAAAAAGTGTTGATGTTTGATAGGATCATAACTCCTCTTTCTCCAGGGACATTAATCCGCACATCCCACAATACATTGCAACGGTACCGTGGTACGTTGGGATTGACAAACCCACCCTCAAGCATCAGAGGCCTCAGAGGGTCGTAAAGGACGTGTCAGCGATCAGCAATTGGTACAAGAAAGGCGTACAAGAGGTAAGTCCAATCAAACAAATTTAATCGATTAATCACTTTCACTGATAAGGCATTTTCAGTTTTCAGCAAATAACTTTTTAACCTTTCTACCTGTCTCCTCATTCTCAGAAATGCTCACTTTTCCCTATATTTTGTCCAGATTACCTTTATGATGTATACTATATTGTATGATTATATTCGTAATGTATGTTATTTTGTCTTTATATGTATGCGATATTGTATGATATTTTATCTAAATGTTTTTTATGATGAATGAAATAAACTCGACTATCTATCTATCTATCTACTTGATATGAAATGTTAAATGAAATGAAAAGAAAGGAGAAAGTGTGTAGACAGTCTAGTCTTTTCAGAATGGTGGTTAACAAAAATGCATTTTTAATTTAACTTTCTTGATGTGCTTAGATTTTTCATGTTTGAATCAATTCTATTTCTATTTATTTTCATTTTGCAATAGGGAACTTTGTCTACGAAGTTTAGAAAAGGTGCATGTGAAAACTGTGGCTCACTGACTCACAAGAAAAAAGATTGCGTTGAGGTAAGATATCATTCAGTCCATCTCTCTCCATCTTTACCCGCGATCAAAAATGTTTTGATTTTTCTAAAAACATTATTAAAGTTGTGTCATTTTTGGTTTAGACAGTGTTCGAAATATGCTGGAATTAAGATTAATAGTGGCAAATGTCTTGGTGTATGCTCTTTAAAAGTTTTTGTTTTCTCGTTGTCTTAGATGAAATGATTGGTATTGGCTTCAGCATTATTCCTTCAGATTTATTTTGTCAATAAAAAGGGTTAGGGTTGTGATATGATTTTTGTTTAGATTTTAGGGATATTATCTGGCTCAGGAATAGCTTTGGTTCTGGTTCTGCTTCTGCAATCAAAGTGATCACAATACGAGCCTCATAAGCTGTGACCTGGTTGACTGTGATAGGATCACGCTTGGCTTCTGCAACGGTTTCAGGCCATCGGAGGCACTTTCGGATGGTGACGTTAAAATAATATCTGATTGATACACTTCTGTAAAAACCCAATTACACACACACACACACACACATAGTATCGTCTTCTGAGATGGGGGTAATAAGGGCAAGTGTCTGTTCCCAACAAAGATAAGTTTCTCTAGTTGTGAGGTCACGATAGTCTGCACAATGATTGATAGCACCTGATAAAGCCCTTTATCCCCATTTTCATATATTTCTTTCTTTGATACATTTCTTTATACATGCAGAGACCTCGCAAAGTCGGAGCCAAATTTTCCGGGGAGGACCTGGCCCCCGATGAACACCTGCAGCCCAACCTTCACTTTGACTACGATGGTAAGAGGGACAGGTGGAATGGATACAACCCAGAAGAACATGAAGCAGTAGTGGAAGAGTATGCCAAGATGGAAGAGGTTGGTCTCATCATAATGATTAAAGTGTACCAATCATTCAAACAATTTTTCGCTTTTGTTGTAATAATAATAATAAAAACAGTGCTTATAAAGCGGTTACCACCAAAGTTTCTAAGCGCTATAACAAACAAAATGCAATGATAAACAATTACATATTAAACAAAAAAAAACAATTACAAATAAACTTACAAATTACAATACATATGAAATATACATCAATGTGAACAGATGAAGTTAATCATCAAAGCAATTTTGAGTAAATGTGTCTTAAGACAAGTTTTGAATTGGTTGACAGTCTGATAGTTTTTTACATGTTAAGGATTTTTTTTCTCAAAAGTTCAGGAGAAGCTTTGCAAAAAGCGATGACCATAAGAAAGAGTTGACATGTTTCATTTTCTTCTCAATGATCTCCCTGGTATTTTGTATCATTCTTTTCCCATTTTAGGCCAAGAAACAGCTGAAAGCAAAGAAACTTCAGAATGAGATGATCTCGGTCGATATGGAGAAAGAAAGGGTATGTGTGAATTATAGTTGTTGTTTTATTTTTAGTTGGACTGACTCTGTAATGGATTTTTTTATAAAATCAGCTATATGGACTAAGTGATTCTTGAGTTGATTGTGAAGAACATTTGTCTAGCAATTATTTTATAAATGAACCTCGGCATTAATAGCATATTTTGTGTCTAAAATCCTCCTGAGGCACGTGTTGTACATGGAATGTGTATGTCTGTAATTCTATTATCCAAATGCTTATTCGTGATATTTAGAAAAAAAAGTTGTTGAAAAGGAATTTTATATCAGATCGCCTTAAAATGTTTAGGAAGTATACTATCAATTCCGGTTGAAAGTTTTAATGCTAAGTTATAATTTTATGAGCAGCTAATAGAAATGCTCATGTAAGTTTTTAAAATATTACTAAACACAGTGATCTATTACACAAAATCATTTTACCTTTGATTAAGGTATATTGGTATAAAACTGATTGAGCTACATGTATGATTCCAATGAAACAAATATATATAAAAATTGACCAATTGCAATGATTGGTTTCTCAAAAGTAATCATCCCTTTTCTATTTGATGTACAGGACAGCGATGAAAGTGATGCAGATGAAGACAAATACGCTGATTCTTTTGACATGCCTGGAACCAATTTTGACAGCAAGAGGTACCATATATACTATAACTTCTAAAAGGGGGTAGCCATGTACTGTATGTACATTTCAAGTGAATTTTACTTGTCTCATTGTATCACAATTCTTCAAAAAATTGGTGATGACTACCTACTACATTGTAGAGGTGACCTAACAGTTGCTGGTTGACATGTGCTTGTACCGGATATGTTGTCATAGAATTTACGTAAAGGGTTAGAGATACAATTAGGATTAAGGTCAGGTCAAGGGTTGACGTTGAATGGCATCCTCCCTAAACTTACATTTCATATCTCAGTCCATCTTTCCCTAAGAAAAGCCATTTTTCAGTTCCCGTATTTAGATGGATGATCGTAAACTGTATTTTCTTCTGCATATCATTATTTTAATAAATTCTTACATTGGTATTGCAAAAGGGGATACAGTACCTTTAAATCTAATATCAAGTTCTGATGAGGAAGCTGCATTAGGACAGAAACTTGTAGTGATTCTTGATCATTTGTCATGTAGTAGATTGAGATTTTGGATCGGCAAATGCAAATAAACTTTAAAAAACGGGAAATACACATTCACTTACACCTTGTTATAGTGCTTGATGAATGTTTTGACAATCAACTTTATGTTCTTCAGCTATCGTACAACTTTAAGTAAGTTTGTTTTATATTTCATTTTAGTATTGAACAGTTATCTCAAGAAAGATTACAGAGACTCCTCAATCCTCCCTATCTCTCACATGGTGCAACCGCAAGCCTACTGTATATCTACATCACCATGCAAGCTGATACTTACAAGCAGCATCTGAACAGTTATTATTAGTTTGGCTCAAATCTGTGAAATTTTAGTGCCTGTCATGACCAATGACCAAAATTGATTACCTGTATAATATTTCTTTTTCTTCTTTTTAAAAAGAATTATTTAAATTTACTTTAATACTTAAACCATCCCCCCTCTTTCATTGTGTTTTCTATTCTTCCTCTTTCTTTAGGCGAATTACAGTGAGAAACCTTCGCATTCGTGAGGACACTGCCAAGGTATGTGTAATTTTTATTTTTTATTCATTCTTTTCTTGCTCTATTTTCGTGTTAATTTGAGATAGAAAGTGTGATAGACTATGAAGTTCAATTTTTTTTTTTTTTTTTTTTTTTTTTTTTTTTTTGGGGGGGGGGGGGGGTTTATTGGAGGTAGATGTATTGTATTGATTTTAGAAAGCAAAACAATGAGAATGTACCAGTAGCTCAAAAAGTAATTTTGACCAGGCGTAGAGTGGTTAGCTCCAACCCAGTCTTTCCTTTTCAGACATCCCCTTTTTTTAATAATTCTGACATTGTTATGTCATGTATTTGCACTCTTTATCCACTTTTTTTCTTTAATCACAGTACTTGTATAACCTGAGACCCAACTCGGCCTACTACGATCCCAAAACAAGATCTATGAGGGACAACCCCTCCAGAGATGTAGGCGCAAACCCAGATGAGTAAGTTATCAATATGTTCCATTTATTTTATTTTTCTCCTTGAATACAAAGGAAAAATTACTGGCAATCAATAGATTGATATCAATTTCTTCTGAAAGATTCACTGTCTTCCCAATATGTGTTCATCATATGCTTCAATTGCCCATGAAAAGAAGCAAAGTTGTAAATATACATTTAATATTTAACTTTGGAAAAGAGAGATATACAACTTCCAAAATTCAAAACTTTCTAATTTTTTATCAGATATTGCTCAAACTTTCACTACTTTGTTCCTCTCATTTTCTGCTTTTATTGAAGCTAAATTAATATCAGGATGAACTTCACTTTTAACAAGAGCGTTTTATTTTCAAATTCTGATTATGATACGCCTCCATTACAAATCTGTTGTATTTGGTCCTTCTACAGTCTGAAGTTTGCTGGTGATAACTTCATACGAGAAGGAGGTGATACGGTTTCCATGGCAAAGGCACAGAGTAAGTAGAATCCTTTGTTATCCTTTTTTTTCCCCTATACAAATCAGTTAGCCACCTCAAGATACTACCGGCTGAAATTGAAATTGCATTTATAAGCGAAGTGCACCTCATATTTCCTGTATCTTATAATACATAAATATGTCATTATGCATAGGGCCCTTTGTTTAGCTTATTTAAAAAGTAGCTTTGCTGTACAACCATGTGAACAGTACTTAAAAGGAATGAGAAGACCTGAAAATGAGTGAAAGTCACTCCTGACGACGGACAGTTAACTTGTCTTAATTGAGTCTTAATTGTTTCACAGTCCTTTTCAGTACTTCTCAGTCAACACAGAAAATACAAATAGTCCTTCCAAAGACTCTCCATGAGGTTATACCGCAAATCTACTCTATAAGTTATCATCTCCCCATGCGAACCTGTAATTTCAATCAATACCTCGTTGTCTTTGACAGTGTTTGCGTGGGACGCATCCAATCGCGGTACCGATGTCCATCTCCAGGCCGAACCCACCAAGCTCGACCTACTCCACAAGGAGTTTGGCAGCAAGAAGGACAACTTCAAGAAGAGCCAGAAAGAGACCATACTGCAGAGGGTAAGTTCTTTGTAGGTAGCTTAGCAAATGTAGGACTGTGTACTGATGAACTTATGTTTTCTGTTATGTTAGTGAAAGGTATATGATTGTCAATACCAAATTAATTTTCCCAGAGTACATGTGAGCACTTATCATTGGTACTTTTAAAAATGTTTCTCTTAACTCTATGCACTTGTATTCAGTTTGTGTAGCCATTAACTGGTGGCATAACATTTAGATTGTTAGGACAATTAACATACTTTCTTGAATATTAAAGATGATATAGTTTTCTGAATACCAACCTTACCACCTTGTCTTACGCATTCATCCTTTCATTTGCATAAAAAATAGACAGGGATTGGAGAAAATGAATTATAATCCCTTATAGGTAGATACATCTCTCCGGTGTGTTTTATACCCCTGCCCTTTCCTCAATCTATTTTCCCGTCTAACATCTATTTTACCATCATATGTTTAACAAAATTGTGTTTTGTTTTTCTTCAGTATGGTGGTGAAGAGCACTTGGAGGCACCCCCTAAGCAGTTGCTGCTGGCACAGACGGTAAGTCAGACTTTATACGATATCGCAGTATGGTGAAGTATGGTTTTTCCCTGAGCTAGTGCCAGTGCCAGTACCAGTGCCAGTGTTAAGATATCTATAGGCATTGTGATAATGTCCACTGTTTTTGTCCAGCTAAAATACTGTTGTAAGCAGTTTGTTATTTAAAAGAAAAGTATAGTAATCCACAGTTTTGTACAATTACAATTATCATAACCAGGTCTACAAACCGATTTGGGTTCAAGGTAAGTTAGTGCAATAATTAGTGAAATACAAAAAAGCAAGCTAGAATACAAAGATGCAATAATGAAATTTAAATAATCATGATCATAGTGGCATTTTGCCATTATTGACAACTCATAACATAAACAAATTTGTGTTTAATTTCACGACATATAGGAGGAATACGTAGAGTACTCTCGACATGGAACCATCATCAAAGGCCAGGAGAAGGCCCCAGTTAAATCCAAATACGAGGAAGATGTCTTGCTTAGCAATCATTTTGTAAGTACCATGCTCTCTTAACTCTTTGACTACTGGAACCATGTGGGCTCCTGTATTAAGCCTATGACAAACAGAGAATTCAATAGTCAACAGGTTAAAAACAACTTAACATTCTGAAAGAGTCATGAAAGGAGATTATTTTATAATTGAAAGGTGTAAAAAAAAAAGCGAGAAAAAGACATCCTGAAAGTTTAAAAGGGTGAAAATCGACTGGATTTATGTATTTTTTGTTTTCAAAACAAACCCCACATAATACTTTTTTCCCTAATCCCGCATTTTCCCTTCTGCAGAAGTGAGCTAGAGGTGAGCTAGTGCAGAGCTAGTGCATACGCCACCAGACTGTGAAACACATGTTTCAAGGTTTAAGTCACACCGCGGCACTAATGCCATTTGGCAAGACATTAATCTATATTCTCCACTCTCCACCCAGGTGTAGTAGGTGGATTCTTGATAGGAATTTTTTTTCCTGGAATGCTTTGTTTGCCTTAGAGCAGATGGGCTAAAGCCAAGGTAGGGTAATAAGAGTACTTTGCAAGTGCCTTGAGCATCCCCAGGGAGGAATATGTGCACAGTAGAAATGTATACAGGCCTGATAATTACCTGATTTAAATCGGTTTCCTGATTTTTTTTTTTCTCCTCGATTTTTCCCTTATTTTCCCAATTTTTCCTGATTTTTCCCTATTTTTTCCCAATTTTCTTACTCAACAGGGGGGAATGGTGTTGGGTGCCTTTTTTTTCAACCGAATTCCCTTTTTTTTTTCATTCAGGGGGCGTAGTTGAGGGGAAACACCCCTGTGTACTTGACATTATTATTATTGTTGTTTGTTTTTGTTGTTGTTGTTATGTATTCTTAAAGTTGTTATTATTTTTATAATTATCATTATTATTGTCATCATCATAATCATTATTACTACCCATCTTTATCTGCAGAGTGTTTGGGGTTCGTTCTGGAGAGACGGGCAGTGGGGCTTCCGCTGCTGCTACTCCCTCGTCCGGGGCTCCTACTGCACGGGGGCAGCAGGCAGGATGGCTGCAACCGAAGACTCTGTCGTCCTACCTACCGAACCCACCGATGCACTCCCTGGAATAGAGGAGGAGGAGGAGGAGGAGGAAGAGGAACCTGTGAAATCAATGGTGGAGGTGAGATTGATGTTGTTTAAAAGATTATAAGTATGCAGGCCTTAAATTTCGTCATTTTTAGGGCAAGGCCAGTTTGGCCTTGAGTACCTCATATTTTTAAGGGCACCAAGGCCAAAATATTTTTACAAAAAGGGCATCGAGGCCAAAATATTTTACAAAAAGGGCATCGAGTATGAGGCCAAAAAAATTGATTCTATTTTTGTTAGATGTCATGTGTATTTTATGAAACTTGTGCGGGATCAATTTCCCATGACTTTTAGCACCAGCTTCTTCACAGAATGTATAGAGGTCTACGGTACATACAAACAAGGCGGCGGCCCGCAAGCCTTAGATTTAGCAGCCAGGAGCAAGGGGCAATTTTTTTTTTAAGTTGCCCTTTGCCACGGGAATTTACCAGAGCAAGGGGCAATTTTCCAAAAAGAGATAGGCCCCCTTATCTAATCATAAGTTCAAAGAGAGTCTACAAATGTTAATTTCATAATGTGAATAGATCGAACGATCAATTTAATAACTTTTTAATCTTAACAATATGAACAGGAAAGATTGATTAAGAACATCAAACTTGCACATTAAACAGTATTTTAAAGTAACTAAAAATATTGATGAGCAAATGAATAAATAAATTGTCAATTTCACAAACACGAAAGTCAGAAGGACTTGGCAAGTTTACCGGGCCGGGTATCCCAAATCAAAATCGCACCTCACACACAAACCTTCCGCCACTCTCTCGGTAGTAGGAGCAAATTTGAAGAAATTATCTTTTTAACTGTTGTAGTCTATAGAAAGGTCTAGATAGGCCTAACTAATGAAATAAGATGTAAAAATGTCCTTATAGACATTCGACAGCTGAAAGTGACACGCTCAGCTCAGTTGCGTAACGTGCATTCACGAAACCAAAATCGTTCCTCGCACACACACTCTCGCCACTTTTGGTGGGAAGCTGTGGGGCTGGAAGTTTGCCAGCGAAACCGATGCACCCTCGGAGATTCGCAGCGCGTAATTTTACCGGGACTCGAAACGTTCGTCTTGGGAAGCTGGCGGGGTAGCTTTTTGAAGCGAGGTCGGCTGGTGGCAAAATGAGAGTAACTACGATCGAGAACATCGTAGGTGTTCTTAACTTATTAATAAGATAATTCTAAATTCTATTTGAGATAAAATAATAAACTAGACCTACAAACAAACCTCGACAGATCTCTAATGACTATTTGAATGCTTGTTTATTTCTCCATTTGACGATTTGTTTTCTTGATCCTGGCCTTCGATTTGTACGTACGTACGTACGTGCGTGCGTCAACAGCATGCACCATATGCATATCATGCGATCGATCGCGTGATTGTACGTGTGCTAGCGCATTGCCTATATAATAACAAAGGGCGCATTTTCACGGCACTTGCGCCTTATTAAAGCACTAAATACGAAGCTAGAAGAGAGCTCGTGGGCGGCAGACTGTTCGTGATTCGTGTATTTTTACTGTTCTAATAATTTATGGGCGCATTTTCACGGAAAACACTTGCGCCTTGCCGTCTAGTTTTAGATGATTATGGGCGCAATTGGTGGTTTTATGTGCGCAAATTTAAAAAAAAAAGGGCACGTCCAGTTGGAAAAAAGGCACGTCGGCCAGTTTGAAAAAAAGGGCACGGCCTTTTTGGCCGTGAATTTATCTTTTTTTGGGAGGGCACCGCGGCCAGTCATAGGGGCATCGACGGCCTGGCCGTCGATGGCCGTCGATTAATTTAAGGCCTGAGTATGGTGGTGTGACAATAGTTCGCTATCTCACAAAATCTGATACATGTACCACCAATGGAAAGAGAAACCTAAATTTATCCAGTTGTCAAAAAAAAATTTGAGTCAGATGTGAAATTATGAATATATTTACAAAAGATCTGCAAATTTTGCAGTATTTTGCGTCTATTCCGAAAAAATATGAACATACCGACAAGGGTCTAGAAGTCTTTATTTTGAGACCAGATATCTTTAGAATTGTGAGTTAAAAGTCACAGGGGTTTAAGTAGAAAAGGAAATGTTTATATTTTATTTAGTCGATGCGCAGATTAAGGTTATACACAACGTCTAATTAAACTGTTACAAAAGCAGGAGGATATTTATAGTTTAAAATATGCAATTTGTAAACAAGAAATCACTCTCAATATATATATAAAAAATTATGTGTAAATAATTTGCTTGAACGAGATTTAGAATTTTGACCGGTGACAGTGCGACATGCATTTGTTTATGAGATTAACTTTTGTTTTTGTTTCACAATTCTAGCAACACAAGGAGAAACTCAACTTGGAGAAGGAGAAGAAGAAAGAGAAGAGGAGGAAGAAGAAGAGGAAACAGAAGGAGTTGAGAAAGCAGAAAGAAAAAGAGGAGAAGAAAAAGAAGAAGAAGAAGAGGAGACATAGCTCTTCAGATTCAGATTCTTCAGATTCCAGCAGTGATGATAGCAGCGAAGAAGAAGAAGAACAGGAGGATGAGGAAGCTATCAGGAAGAGGAAGATTAAGGAGGTGAGAATAATGAAATCAGTTCTTCTCTTCATCTGTTGTGTGATATTTTCCTCATTTTATTTATTTTCTATGAAGGTTTCAGCAATCTTGTGAAATCAACTAATACTCGTTCACCCTCCATAGTGGTTTTTTACTTGTTTTATTTATGGTGACTTCTTTCCGCCTCCCCAGTCAAAGATTTTGTTTCGCAAGATGGCCAAACTTTCACTTGCTTCAGTATTCCAAAATATTCAGAACAAGTTTTTTTTATTTTTTTATTTCTATTTTTTAAATATTTTTTTTGAAACCATGGGCAGGTAGGTATACAAGGAATTACATGATTTGTGCATATTTTTCTACACATTTTTTAAATATTTTGTAAAGCTGATTATAATGTAATAATTTTAAAGATTTTGTTTGTACAAGAAGTCAAGAATATTTACAATCATGGAATTAAGTTTTGAAAAGAACAAATGTAGACTGCTACATAAGTGTCACTCTGAATTTGAAATGCTTCTTTCTTTGCCTACCGTATTTGCCGGCGTAAAGGCCGCACCGCCGTATAGGCCGCACCCCCAACTTTGACATTTCGTAGAGGAAAAAAAGAAAATACAACAAAAAAAACAACAACAAAAAAAAGAGAGAAAAAAAAAAACGGACCAAACAAAATGATCGTAATTTTCTTGTAGAACACTCTTTTTTTTTTACAAACTATACCAAATTCATCAATATTCTTATAAATCAACAAGAAGTTAACCTCAAAAATGATCATAATTTAGCAGATCTTCATCGACTTTTAAGCTAGTACTGTATCGTACGCAGATTTGGTATCCTACAATACCCCTCCCTCGATGTGCGGTGTAATCCGAAATAACATTTTTTGACCTGCGCAGTTGCGTTGCGCGGCAGCTAGCTCCGTAAGTAACGGCCTGTCCCTTTGTTTACTTTTTGGCGATGCAATGGTATGGACTTAGATCTAGATCTATCGGCAGATTTTATTAGAAAAATAAGTTTTTTCGTCTTCATGTCAACTATGCAACATAAACTTGTCGGTAAGTTGTGTGGAGTTATTCTAGAATTGTCCTGTACGAAATGTCAAAGTTGGGGGTGCGGCCTATACGGCGGTGCGGCCTTTACGCCGGCAAATACGGTATGGTAAAACAGGTCACTCAAAGATTTTTTTACTTTTTTGAGGCATTACTTGATCATTTTGAAGCACAATTTTTTTGAGGGCTTCAATGTAACACCATATCACAGACACTGATAACACGTAGGGCCGTGCATCTCAGATTTAACATTGTTAAACGATCCCTTTAATCAAACCAATGACATCTGTTTGTCTATCCTTTATCATCAGGCCATGAAACGCCAAGAGGAGCATGAGAAGGAGGTTGACAAACTGCTTGCCATGGATGAGAGGAAGAGACCTTACAACAGTCTCAACTCGTATGACAGCGTGAGGCAACCAACAGAGGAAGAGATGGAGGCGTACAGACTCAAGAGAGCGAGAATGGAAGACCCAATGGCCGCTTTCCTTAAACCGTATTAAGGAACCAGCCCTGGCAACGTACTGAGAACAATATTAGAAAGGATGGAGGATTTAATGGAAACATACAGACTCAAGAGAGCGAGAATGGAAGACCCAATGGCCGCTTTCCTTAAACGGTATTAAAAAACCAGCCCTGTCGAGTATAATGAACAGTCCTCGCAACGTACTGAGAACAATATAAGAAAGGATGGAGGATTCTATGGAAGCATACAGACCAGAGAGACATTGAATGGAAGACCCAATGGCCGCTTTCCTTACAAAGTATTAAAGAACGGTTCGTACCAAGTACTGATAACAATATTAGAAAGAATGGAGGATTCAATGGAAACATACAGACTCAAGAGAGCGAGAATGGAAGACCCAATGGCCGCTTTCCTTAAACGGTATTAAAAAACCAGCCCTGTCGAGTATAATGAACAGTCCTCGCAACGTACTGAGAACAATATTAGAAAGGATGGAGGATTCTATGGAGGCATACAGACTCAAGAGAGTGAGAATGGAAGGCCTAATGTCCACTTTCCTTACAAAGTATTAAAGAACGGTCCTTACCAAGAAAGATGGCAGATTCAGTGATAGGTTTTGTCATTTAGTGTCATGAGCAATAGCAGCAGAAAATAGATGGATGGAAGTGTCGATGGCCTCAACGAGTATTTAAAGTACAATCTCCGTGAAGTGTAAAGAACAGTCCTTGCCTAACATTGAGAGCAATATCATCAGAAAGTTGGATGGTATAGTGATTGCTTTCCTCTTCTCATCTTGTTTCAGAAGAGTAGCAAAAAATAAGGATTGCTGATTGAAATTTATTTATTTATTTATTTATTCATGTTTTATTTATTACAATTGGTAAAACAGTGGAGGGTAGTCCGATTCAGTTAAAAGAAACTGCTTTCCAACTTGAGTCGGTACGGTCGATCACACCGGGACCCGACCGTTGCCGTCGGGTCCCGGTTTCGTTTTTTGAGAACCGGCGCTCCGAAAAAAATAATGAAATATGTAAGAAATTGCAGTTTTGCACACCACTAAAATCAATCCACCCTAAAACTTAAGTATTTAATTGTTACCAATCGTATTCTAGCTCATCCAGAATCAATCCGAACTGCTGATATAAATATGGGTTGCAAAGCAGTTCGCCCCATGGGGTTGTTGTTGCCAGCTGCTAGCTATAGCTACTGTACTGGCCGGGTCTCTCGGCAGAATTAATAAATCAGGTTGAAAGAAACATTAATGTTTGAATAATAAAACGACTTTCTAAAAAGTACTTCTTTACAACATACCGATCGAATAATTTTTAAAAGACAAAATATATATTTTTTCTTTGATTTTGAACACCGCATGCTTCTTTTAAAAGCTGAAAATGACTTGGTAATCACAAGAAGTTTCGATACGGATAGCTGTTGCAATGCAAGTTGACTAGTCTCGGAAAAATGCGCAGTGCTCCTTGTTAGCTATAATGCGTGCCAGGGCGAACCCAAACAAAGACGTGATCGTAACGAGAGAAAAATCATTAAAAACTACGAGAGCACAATTGGAAAGACAACTACTCAAAATTATCGTAAGCAGATACATAACTTGGAGGAAGAATACAATAGTTGTCCAAGAAAAGCCACATAAATAGTGATATTTAATGAGTTACTATAGGTACAATCATTATCGGAAGGGCCTGCTGCAATATATCTAAACGTGTTTAAATTGAACACGAGGCAAATACCGCCCTCTACGGTAAAAAGCAGTATAACAAAGGATTCGAGTATTTGCAGCAGGCCCCTTGCGATAAAAATGTACCCAGTTACTCCTCGATTATCACAATTTCTGTGGCATTTCTTGGGCGATTATTGAATTCTTTGTCCAAGTTATGTATCTGATTATGGTAATTTTGAGCAGTATATCTTTCCAATTGTGCTCTCGTAGTTTTTAATGATTTTTTTTCTCGTTACGATCACGTCTTTGTTTGGGTTCGTTCTGGCACGCATTACAGATAACGAGGAGCACTGCGCATTTTTCCGAGACTAGTCTGAACTTGCCTTGCAACAGCTATTCGTATCGAAACTTCTTGTGATTACCAAGTAATTTTCAGCTTTTAAAAAAAAGCATGCGATGTTCAAAATCAAAGAAAAAATATATATTTTGTCTTTTAAAAATTATTCGATCGGTATGTTGTAAAGAAGTACTTTTTAGAAAGTCGTTTTATTATTCTAACATTCATATTTTTTGACCAGATTTATTCAACCTGCATTAATCAAAATGGCGGCTCGATTGTAGTCTTTATATTTTTGCTCGAGTTTTTTTTTACTTTTAGAGGCACGATAATGGCACTAAACATCGCCAATCATGGATAAATATAATGTCAAATGGAAGAATATACCAATCTGTGCCGAGGTATGCATGTGTTGATTTATTTGACTGACAAAAATGTCACTTAAGTTTTAAGGGACATACTGATGATATGCGCTTTTTATAGAGGCAAGTGACAAATCCTGCGAGCTGATTTCGGGACACCGGGTCCCGACCGGTGCAAGGCCGTCGGGACCCGGTTTATGAAAATCCCGACATGACTCAGGCCTATAAATTCCAACGGAGCCCTCCACATGATACAAACAATAACATAAAACATAAAAACATAACATAAATTGAAACATCAATATAACTCAATATATAAAAACATTTATACATTTGAATACTACATGAGGCGCACGTGGGATGCACGGCGAGACCCCCCCCCCCCCCCCCCCAGTAGGCCAGATTCTCGTGTGTTTTTTGTTTGTTGTTAAAGCATGTTAGAGAACTGTTTACATTGTTTCTTGAAATTGTTTAGTGACTTGCAATTTTGGACAGATTTTTTAATCACCAAATACAGAACAGTGGTTGTAGAAATATCAATGGACGTTTTAATGATCATTTTATCATTATTTATCAAGAAGTATACCAGTATGACCACTTTTTTCACCAAATATTCCAGGGTTCTGCACCTCTGTCTCCTGCTTACTGTCAACTCTCAAGACATCAACCACAATGATTCTACGGAGGTGCTGTCCTCGTATTGAAGATGAGCTCATGATCAGTCAAAGAAATGTTGCGTAGATTTGATTACAGCCTCCAAATTTACATAACCTAGAGAATCCAACGACTCTCCTTGTCAAGTTCCATGATACTGATAGCAGAACAAACCATTGATCCCCTTCCCTGCCTTGGGAAGAAAATCCTCTCTCCTCAGAAGGAACAACATACAATGAGACTCAAACTAGCTCCATTTTTACTTCCTTGAGCAGATACAGGTGCCTTTATTGTGAAGTGTATTCCCATAGGATGTATTTCATGCCCAGTACTGGATCAAGCATTATAAGTTGAAATTCACCAGTAAATCTCATTTTTAACAAACCTTTAAGAACTTTTTAATGAATTGTTAATGATGATGGAGCGAAGAGAAAAAAAAGGACAAGTTTTTATCTTTGAGGAAATGTATCTCTGTGTCATCAGGGCACTCTCTCACAGCGAGTAAATTGATTTTTCAATCTGCTGTTTCTTGAATATAAGTACAGTTTATTAAACAATTTCAGAATCAAAGCATTGAGATGCTGTGAAGAATGCAGAAATCTCTTGGTCAAGTGAAGTGTAAGATATATTTTTGATAATTTTACAAATTGATTTTTAATAGAGGTTTGAGAGCCTTGGGCATGTTAGACTGTTCCAAAGGTACCTTGTGTGGGTATTATTTGTTGTATATTGTGCCCTATTGGTTGTACCTGCCATCAGTTTTGAAAGAAAATCCAAACTACTGTACTCTAAAAGAAAGAGAAAAAAGCAGAGAAGCGAGCTGGTGAAAGGATCAAAAGATAATGCAAAAACACCACTAAAAGGAGACACTAAACTCCCATTGGGTTAATGAACCGGATAATTCCCTACCAGCATGTATAGACCTGGATCTACATTTTCTTAAAATAACTCAAACTGCAAGTTGTTGCTGTGGAAATTCGGCATTTTGGGCAGTTCTGAGGAACTCCCTAACCTTTCTCTTGTATCAAAATGTTCTGTGAAATCCTAATTTTTCTGATCCTGTGTAATTCCCTTGCATCAAATACACGCATATTTTTTTTTTTAATGAACAATTTTTATGAAGCATAGTGACATGACACATTTTGAATTGATTTGTTTTATGTATTTTATAGAAATCATAATTTCTTATTCAAGACATCAATGGCTTATAAACTATTCATGTGACAAGCATAGTAGAATTCGTCGGGCAAAGCTTAGAGACTCTTTGGAATGCTTTAAACTATATGCTATATGTTTGTTTTATCAGTTCTAATGATGGATTGGTATTTGATGTACATTTGCACACACCCAAGAAAAAACCTTAAAGGAAACCAAAACCTTCATACTAAGTTACTTTTATTGTAAAGTTTAAACGATTTGAATAAAATCAGTGAAAATTTGAACAAAATCGGGCAAGGAATAAGAAAGTTAGAGCATTTTGAAATGAATAGTCACTAGAGGGCAGTATTCAATTTGATGACATCATCTGTAAACAACTCTCCATGCCTTTTGTACATAAAATTTCACAATTTTTTTGTTTTCTTCGTATTTATTTGTGTTCTTGATCCGACTTCATAACATGTGAAGTAGAATATCATTTTGCATTCTATATCTTGCTTTCAGGGGAGTACATTATCTCAATCACAAGAAAGAAGGAAAAACATGAAATTTGATGTACAAAAGGCATGGAGAGTTGTCCACAGATGATGTCATCAAATTGAATACCGCCCTCTAGTGACTAGTCATTTCAAAAAGCTCTTACTTCCTTATTCCTTGCCCGATTTTGTTCAAATTTTCACTGATATTTTTCAAATATCTTAAACTTTACAATAAAAGTAACTTAGTATGAATGTTTTGGTTTCCTTTAATACTGAATACCAGCCATGTTAATAATATGATTGCAGGGCCCTTCGGGAGAAGGGTATTAATACTACCAGGCTTCCCTGGATTGAACGAGTTACATTATTAATAGTATTATTACCTTTTTAGTCTGATCTGCTGTACTCCGCATCTTTTTTCAATTGCATTTGCTATTACATAGCTAGAAACGCTCCTCTTGTACATTTACCTGTAAATAAACCATTTATTATGTACATCTTAAATATTAAAATCTGATATGAAATGTGACATTTTATCCTTGTAATTTGTGTTTCATGTACATGGAGTTACTGTTTGCAATTTTGAAATGAAATTACAGTCAACAACTACATTATTCATACCCTTACCAAGTTTTGTACTTTTATCTATGTGAAAAATGTATTTGTCCGGATCCTGTTTCTTGAGAATGTGGCACATTAAAGCTTACATTTAGAAATGTTTAACAAAGGCCCTTATTCAAACCAGTTCACCATTCATTCTTGAGTTACGAACTAAAACACAAACAAATTTACAAGGAGTATGAATATTTCTGTTGTTAACTGTATGTAAGCTTGTACCAGTGTTCATGGGTAGCAAAATGATGAAGAAAAAGAGTGAACTTTTTCTTCCAACAAGGCATTTGAAAATACATGGCAAATGTCTTAAACAAAGGTCCTGCTTGTATTCACTGCGCTCTGTATTAAAGGTAATACAAAGTTTTGGTATTGGGTCACGAATTTGGTTCAAATGAACATATTGGAAGCATATGTGATCCTACAATATTCAGTCATCGTTGTCTCGGTTGAAATCGAGGCTAAAGTTATGAAATTATAAATAATTAACTCTTCATGCTGTATAGCTCCCTCTCAAGGTCAAGATATTAATTAAGCTATAAAACAATGTTTCTTGACTAAAATCGACTGACTAGATATT